TGGCCGTTGAGGGGTACACCCTTGATGGCCAAGAGGTTTCACTCGGCTGTTGGGGTGTACAGCCTTGATGGTCAAGAGGTTTCTATTGGCTGTTGAGGGTTATACCCTTATGTAATGCCTGAGAGAAATTCTCCCGGCCATTGAGAGAGCACTCTCCGCAGCCGGGAGGAATCCTCTTGGCCGCTGGTTTTTTTTTTTTGATCACTGACCCCCCAAAACCACTTGGTTTTGGGGCATCAACACCCAAATCCTCTGGGGTTTTTCTTTTTTTTTATTTAAATTTTTTTTGGGGGCTGACTCCCCAACCCACTGATGGATTTGGGGACTTGACTCCCAAATTTTGAGGAAACCTGGGTTGGGGAGTTGACTCTCCAATTTTTGGGAGTTGGTTGACCAAGTCCCATTCTGTATTGTCTCAGATGACTGATCCCACCAAAAATGTCTTTGATGCACAAGGTATTTGGCCATATTGAAGAAAAAAAAATGAAGATGATTTTTTTTTCATTTGTGAATCCAAATCCAAGACAATGGATCTTCTCACCAACCAAGGAAATACTGATACTGGTATCAGGCTCAAAATAAAGACAATACGATCTGATACAAATACATGTCTTGTATCTGTTGCACCATTGATATAGCTGCTACCATCTTTGGATTGAATCGACTGATATCTTCAGATCAAGGGTTTCATTAATATCATGACAGTTCTCACCTTGTTGGCTCATCTTGACCACAATGATCTTCACACCCCGGCCATAATCAACAAAAGGCATTGTCAAAGGACTACATAGCCATCAAATGAAGCAGCAGCTGATAGTAACCAACATGGAGGATAGTACAAATGAGTAGAATGTGCTTGCTGTATGGATCAATGGGATTTTGTGTTGGAGGGAGCAATTGTGGGTGGATGGATGGGGTTGCTGGCTTGTCAGATGGGGAATCTGGTGGGCCACCGAATGAATTTTTTTTGATACCATGCAAGGCAAAAAGAAAAGTGTGGTGCAAAAAAAAGTTACACTGTCAAAATAGTCAGTATGGCAGGGTCCATCATTTGGCAACAGATAGAATGCTGATTGCTTGTTGTAATTGCACAATTGACCAAGTTGATGGCATCAATCAGGTTTGCCCCATAGGCCCCTAAGTAGCTCTTGGCTCAAACTGTTGACTGAAAACCCACATTAGAGCATCCGTATCGGTGGCTAGTTTAGCTGAAGCTAAGGAACTTAGCCACCAAATTCAAGCGCACCGGTTCAAGCTAACCCGGGGCTAAGTCAGCTTGATGCTAAGATTCTGGCTAACCCTTGCTACATGTAGCAACGGTTAGCCAATGAGCTAAACAGTGAGCTAGGGCCCGGGGTTGCTGGAATACAAGACATCTCTCCACCATCCACCTCGATTCTCCTTTCCAGCCACAAATCTACGATGCCGACTCGGAGTGCCAATTGGCTTCCAACAGAAGACCAACAGCTTGCCAAAAGCTGGCTCAAGATATCTGAGGACCCGATCATATCAACCGGTCAAAAGAGAGCGGAGTTTTTCAAACGAGTCGCAGAGGATTACAACGACTATTCTGGTGGTATTGAGAGGGATGGGACAATGGCCATGCACCGGTAAGTACTTCCTTTCATTTCTTTTCCCTCTTCCCCTGAAATATACTCATTTTTTGCATTGTAGATGGGGGCACATCCAAAAGGCATGCTTGAAATTCTCGGGGATATATCACAAGCTCAAGAACAACAGACCATCGGGATCTGTTTTGTCCGATCTCCTCCCCGACACCAAGAAGGCCTTTTACGAGCAAGAAGGCAAACAGTTCATCTTTGAGCTGGCCTGGATGGTCGTCAAGGATTCATCAAAATTCAATTCATTGGCACAAACACGTGGCGATCAAAGTAAACAGGCCACGACCCCAGCCCCCACTCCTACGCCATCTACACCCGCTGCTCAGTCCGATGCTGCTCTAGGCAACTCTCAACCTGAAGACATTGCCCAATTCGGATCGAACAACTCTTGGAACCGTCCTGCTGGGATTCATGCGACCAAACGTGCAATGAAGCAAGAACACTTCAATGCTAAAAAAATAAAAGTCATGTCTGAACAATCGAGTAACTACCGCGAACGAACCATTGCGATGAAAAAAACAAACGAAATCCGTCAACAAGTTGCTAAAGCCGAAGTAAACCAAGTGAATATGGAGATCATGTCTAGGAAAGAAGATGAACTACCGGACGATGTATCTCGTGAATTTTTGCGTCTTCAAAAGGGGGAAATTCTTGAGGATCTTCGCGAGCAAATCAGGGAGAGACAGAAACTAGCGGCAGCAAAGGAAAAACAAACCGAAGCATCAACAAATGAAGCATTGGCAGCTTCAAGTGAGCGTGATAGCACCTTCGAAGACGATCCATCCAGCAACGCTGAAGACTCTCAGTACATCGGCGATGAAGACGAAGACGACATAGCTGATTTAGATCCTTTACTTGACACCCTCGCTTAGAGTGTTTCGCATTCTCCAGTCTATCTCATTTCTTGCCGTTCTTTTTTTCAAAAAACACAACACAAAGAAAAAAAATCTATATGCATAATCTATTTCATTGTTCCTATTGTTTATTTCTGAACTAAATACATGAAGAGCAATAGCAAATTCACTCGGTACTCCTGTTCCTGGAGCCTAGTCGTGCCCAATTGAGATCAATCAAGTCGTTGATAAGCCTTCGATGTTGTACTGCTGATCGGAGCTCAACCGTCCGAATCGCTTGCTCCTGTAAGGTGTAAGGCTGACTTTGAGGTGGGACTAGTTTTGTGCAGCGAGGTAACCGAAATGTGTCGGTTGAATCCCTCTCATGATCCTCTACAATCATGTTGTGTAGAATCACACAAGTTCGCATGATTGACACCATATCTTCAGGGCTCCAGAACCGAGCCGGAATGGTGACAATAGCCCATCGTATTTGAAGAACCCCAAACGCCCTCTCAATATCTTTTCGGAATGCTTCTTGAAGCTTTTGAAAGTGTTTTGATGGCTCATCTTGAGACACACCTTTTGATTTGATCAGGGTTGACCAGGATGGATAAATTCCATCGACGAGATAATACGCGTGGTTGTATTTACGACCGAGGATCTGGAATTCCACGTCCCAACTAGTACCAGCAAGTCGTTCCTCAAATAGAGGTGATCGATCCAATATATTAATGTCGTTAAGAGCCCCGGCCGTTCCAAAAAATACATGCCAGATCCACAGTCGTTGATCGGCAACAGCTTCCAGAACCACCGTCGGTTTCTTTTCTTTGCCCTTGTACTGGCCAGCGAATGCACTGGGACAGTTTTTCCATACCCAGTGCATGCAGTCAAGGCTGCCAATGCAGCCTGGAAAGCCACGGGCATCGTTGATGTCAAGCATTCGTGTCAAATCGTCTGCGGTTGGCTTCCGTAGATACTCCTTGGCGTACAGATTCTCGATTGTGTTGCAAAATATCTTGAGGGTTTGCCGAGCAGTGGCTTCCCCAATCCTACAATATTCATCGGTCGCATCCATTGCACATCCGTAGGCTAATTGTCGAAGAGCGCAGGTGATCTTCTGAAAACTTGACAACCCCATCTTGCCTGTACAATCCTGTTTCACCATTTTCAATAAGTTTTTTTTAGATTAATAGCAAAGAAAAAAGGAAAGGAAACATACAGGCTTTTGAACAAAGTAGGGAGAGGCTTCCACCACATCTGCAGCGATCCTCAGGAACAGTTCTTTCCTGAGTCGAAATCGCCTTTCAAAATCACGGTCATTGTATGTTGAACCACTGTTGAAATAGTCTTGCATGAGTCTCTCGTGTCCTTCGGCATGGTTTCTTTCTTTATTTGGGCGTCGTGGACCTCGCGTCTTGGCATGCGGTTCATCGTTGGTGAGTTCTTCCAAAGAGGTAAATCCATCTTCCTCGTCTTCTTCCTCGTCTTCTTCTTCATCCTCCATTTCCGATCCAAACAGGTCCTCGAGGAGCCGTCGTCGTTTGTTCCCGATGCGGTTGGTCATGGTTTGCTTGTGAGCTATCTAGTTTGAGCTGCTGGTAGCCAATACCAGTGCGGCTGAAACACCCCCGCTAAGTTAACTTGATTTAACTTGGACTTTAGCCGCGGGCTGAGTTAGCCCAACCGATAAGGATGCTCTTATTGATGCCAAGAGAAAATGTATGCAGACTGTCAAAACAGGTCAAGGCAAGTGTTGATAGCGCTAGCACCAAACCCAAAGTTGCCATAAATGTCCGTCAACGGTGCCTTCAAAATTGGCTTGAGGGATAGGCTACTTGCAAGTCTTGACGAGTTTATAGCCTCTAGAACCGCATGTGGACAAAGAGCCAAGCACTTTGAATAACCCCTCATTCCCTTGCGCTTTACCGAAACAAACCTCTCGCTTTGAGGCTTGAGCTAAGCCTTGCTTCCAGCTGCCAACTAGAAACTTGGTTCCGTGCCAACTGCATGTCATCCGATTGCCTTTAACATAAGACCAGGCAGCTTATGGCTGCCATCAGGGGAGTTGCATGCTAACATCCCTCTACAAAGTTTAGGCTCTGACTGCGACAGCGAAAGGTCAGTCAGTGTTACAACTTCCAAGAAATTAGAATAAGTATGTATGTATCTACTCAGCTGAAAAAAAACCCACATTGATTATTGCGAGTCGCGACTGTAGAGCGATGACGAATGGATACGCCACCGCAGTGGCCACACCGGCGCCAGAACGGAATGCCGACAGTACTGCTGACTCGCTTATATATAATCTAAAATGAGTTGACTGCACCGACAAATTAAGCATGTTACAAATGACCCCCAGCAGTGGCTAATCGAGCCTCTCCCTGGAATAAGCTGGAATCGCCTTGGATGGCAATCCTAAATGGCATGTATTATCTTACACACACATACACATAAATATGCAGTCAAGTAAAAATACTTATCATCACGGATTTTTGGGCTGATTTTGTAGCGTATATATCGTGATCTTCGAAGTGCTTGGAAAATGGCTTACACATATTTCAATTCATCAATCTCATGGACGGAGACTCCGGTCCATGTGTAAAGTTTTGCGATAGATATTAAAAGCCTGCCTGCTGATTAGAGGGTCCTGCTTCATCCTCATCTCAACTCCACCTTACATAAAAAAAATATTATAATTAAAAACTCCAGAGCAAGTTTACCCTCAACTTTGCCCTACCGCTCCAAAACATCTTTCCTCAAGCCGACTTTAGTTGTTGAGCATCGTAGTACTCCCATCAAGTAGGTCATTGATTTGCTTTGTTTTTTTATTTCCCTTAGATTATAAAACTGTCAAAGGAATGTGGTTATGGTTCTGAACTTCAATGTGTTTGAACACTTTCAATCCAACTTCTCTCCTCCCAGAGTGCAGTTCGCCGCGATCAGAATGCCTTCAGTTTCGATCTTAGTGCTCATCATCATGGCCTTGGCATGGACTTCGGAAGCTCGTCAATTACGCCCGGCGACCATAGAAGCCAACCGACGGCTCCCGAACAGACTTTGGAGACGAAGGGTGCACGTCCACAACACCGAATCCTTCGTCAGTCGAGACAGTACCCAAGTCGATATCAGCGCCGAGGTCGAAAACAGCTACGAGAAGGAAAGTCGTCGAGTGCAGGACTTAACTGAGAGTCATGACCCTTCCGCATTCCAACCAAGCTTTGCACGGGCCATCCCTATCGCATAACGCGCGCTCACATACAAGATCATCTACCCTTCTTTTCCACCTTTGCTTCGATTGCATTGGCTTGATTACCCTGTAAAATTAGACAAAAGAAAAACATCAATGGCTCAAATATCTGCGACTCCGATCCCATCTTCATCTCATTTTATCTTTATGTATTTACTGCGACTGGGCTCAGCATTCTAAAGCACATTAGTTGGTTGGATATTAATGCACCTGGTCATCGTCATCACATTTTACATTTTCTCTCTTTCATAATCTCCACGGTAAACATTGGAGCGACTCCGATCTCGCTAGTTGGATCAGCAATCTATGCTTTTTTGCTTGCTACTTTCGATGTCTCTACTGCAGCTTGACGCCTGAGCAACCTCCCTTTTTGGTTTACCTGGATAACTTTGTTTTCTTGATGAGCTGAGTGACAAGTACAACATGTTGTCCTGGCACAATACTATTCCCCGTTTATTATTTCTGGACCTTTAGTTCCTCATCATTGGGATGAAATCATATACGAGAGTATTAACGATTTCTAACCACGTGCCCTGACACCTTTAACCGGAAGAAAAATCTTTTACATTGAATAAACATGAGATAATTAGTGTTAGAACTGGGCCTATGAAATCAACTTGCCTTAACTCTATGATAAAGCGTAAAAGAAAGTCAGAGCCAGATTCCTGTGAGTAAGAAAAAGAATGAGGAAAGATCTAGCTTTTCCAACTCCCAGACAGCTTATTCAGAGGCATGAAGAAAATGGCAGCAAGAGCACATATGATAGCTAATGGAAAATTGATCCAAAATATCCATTGCCTTTTTGTTTTTTCAAATATAGCAAGACTCTTGAGCCCAAATGGTTCCTAAAACACCAATCACAAATAACAAGTTTCTTCTTCTTACCAGCAAATTTCATGAGAAAATTAAACCCCAAGCACAGGTCCAATTCTAACTTAACTAAGTCCCTGTCCCCCTTTGTTGAAGTGGTAAACCACTTGTTGCATTGTGTCAATTGGGGGGAGGGACTTCCACCTAAATTCAAACCCTTGGCCTGAGATCATTAGGATTTTTGGCTGAGAGCCTTTCATCACCAATCTGACACAAATTTGGCCAATTGATGTTTCTTCTATTTTTCACATTGGGGATCTTTCCAGCTGTCCCATCTATGTACTAAATTTTCTACTAATAACCACATTGTTGAAATATCAGTGAAACTCAAACATGCAACATGTTGTCCAGTGACAGCAATGTGTAAAAATGGGTGAATCAATACTTTATTGTAATAATTAATAAAACTCAATAGAAGTAATAAACTGAAAGAAAACAATAAGATAAGTTCAATATCAACAACTTAGAAAGAATGATAATGATTGAAATACCTATTGAAATAGATCAGAATGCCACAAAATCTTAATACGATAACACGATGCTGAGTCTTCAACACAAAAGGATTATCACAACGAGATAGTCTGTAAGATCATGAAAAATAAGAAAAAACAGTCAATAACACTCAACCACATGAGAATGAGAAAAAATAGAATGACTACCTGCCCAGAAACTATCTCTAGCTCCTCCTAGATGTGTGAAGCGAGCGATTGATGAAATCGAGGATAAGATTTGATTGATCAGCGGATGAGAATTGTTGACCTCAGGATGTTTTGATGACAATTGATGATTGATGACAAGCAACTTGATAGGAAGGGGAAAGTGAGTGATCGGCGAAAGATTTGGTTGCTTGCTGAAGATCGGAGATCGAGATGTGACACACGTAAGTGTGAAAGAATGCGAGGTTGAAAATATGCATAAGGAAAAACATGCATAGTCGCAAATGTGCGAGTTTTGACAAAACATAACACAATGTGACTCACAATCAAGTTGTACCAACAGTTAGGGCTAAAATCTTAAAGAAAATAAGCAGTTGCTGCTCATCATGTCTCCTTTTTCCTCAAACTCATAATATCAAGTGACAAACTTAAGGATGAATTTTGTCAGCCTGAACATAGCAATTATTTATCATCAGAGACATTATTACTTACAAACATATGTACATATAATCAACGGTGAAACAATGTGATGTGATGTGATAAATGGCCATGTATTGGTATCAAATCAAAAAAGCAATGCATTGCATTGGCATCGCACCTAAAAAGCAATGCATTGCATCGGCATTGTATTGGAAAGCAATGCAAACCAATGCCACCAAATTATAGTGCATCACATCACATCGCTTTGCCAATGCAATAGTGATGCAAGCAATGCAATGTGGGGCCCCACATTGCTCTCCTCGATGCAATGTGATACAGCCCCAATACAATGTGATACCTATGCATGCATTGCATCAGTTACATCGTTGATATAATATAAAAATTAAAATATACTATTTAAATAATTGGAATCACTACAATAGAGATATTGTTACATATTACCCAAAGCTTGTAATAATTAACAACAAAACACAAAAGTGTTTAAATAAAAAAATAAAATAACATTTTAACCCAGAATCCACTAATAACTGCCAAATATTAAGTATGACCTAGAATATTATTCCAGATTCTGAATCTAAAGACAAATTAACCTAGGGTACCTCACCAAGAGTACCCCTTAATTATTACTCCTTCACTTACTTTGTAGCCCTTGAGTGACATTAGACCCAGAGTACACTACAGACCCCTCAAGTTACATCATACTACATGTTGTAAGGGTGATACAGATGTAATTAAGGTTCATGCTGTTCGGTAAAAATCTACAAAAAATGTTTACATCATTGAAACCTCAACTACATGAGCACAGACATGGTAACCAACCTGGTTTGGGTGATCTGTGGCCCTTTTTGACCAATTGGGCCAATTACTCTCTATCAAAGATCAGCCCACACATTATACAATGATCTCATGTGTTAAAGGTGGGTTAAAGTTTCATCAGAACACCCTGATAACCTAGTTACAATCGTTGCATCATTGCCATCACACCTGTAACCAAGCTCCACAGGAGCTACAGCTGATCCAACAGTTCCCACGGATTAGTAGGAGATCTATATCAGCCAGAGAGACTCCTTGGTTCGCCTCCAGTGGCTCACAATAGTATTTAATAAACCCTTCTTTCCCCTGAACTTGAATTCCCCATCTTCATCAATACTTACCAGCAGTAACCAACACCAACAACCAGTTTCAACCTGCCTTTTGGCCCATTTCCTGCTGTTTTTAAATTGGATTTCAACCAATCAACCAACACCTGTTCCACAGAACTACTCCAACAACTCTCAAACAACTTTCTGAGCGCCTCAAGAACAGTTCCTCCCCTCCTGAAGCTCCCCTTGGCTTGGAAATAAGTATAAGTAAGTATTATTTCCTTACCACTTCAGTTGTAGGCTTTTCTGGGCATGCTTCTTTATTAAAAAGGAACAGAAAATCAGAGCCACCCCCGTTACACAGGAACTGATATGAGAGGGAACATTAAATACCCCTGTAACTCAGGCCCCTCTGTAAATAAAAACTTAATAGTTTTTATTTTATTTCTCTCTTATCACCAAACCTTCCACCACTTTTCACATGTTATCAACATGTGTACATAACTTTTTACATCCTTGCACCTAGTGTAGCTAGAAGAGTCTTGCTCTTGACATCAATTATGCTGAAAAATTTCAAGCAAGATACATACATGAATAATGAAAGACATTATGAATCATAAGAATAAAAAAATGAATCAATACCTTAAGGCATGAACAATAAAATGAAGAACAAAACCAGAATGGATGAGAACAACAAGTGATGCAAAGAGAAGCTCATAATAGAAGAGAGTTCTTATAATTTGTCGAGATATAGTTTAATGATAAGACAACTAGATGATACCTGATTTAAGGTTGTAGAAGGTTGGGATGATGATTTCAGTTAATAGTACTCCAAAGTGAGTAACAGGAATCATCAGGAGAGAAGGTCAGAGTTCAAATCAAGATGAGATCTACATAAGTGATACAAGACTTGAGACCAATGATGGCATTGTTAACGTGACTCCAATTATGTAATCAGTCACTTTTGGAAGAACACTGCTAGAGTACTAGAGGGACCAAGATCAGATATCAACACATCAAAATTCACTACTGCTTGCTCAAGCTCATCTATGTCAAGGTTCACCACTACTTGCTCATGCTTGCCCAATTACTCAAGCTTGCACAACACTCCTCAACTACTACACTTGCCAACACTGGATCAAGTCTCCAGTGTAAATTTATCCTCAACTGAATCTCAATCCCCAGAGTCCCAGGAACGACTCCCAACCTCCCTCAAGCATGGGGGGTGGTTTTGGGAGCCAACTCCCATAAAATTAAAAAAAAGAAACATCAATGGATGGCCAACTCCCAAAGTTGGCCATCCATTTGGAGGAACGACTCCCAAGGGACGTCTGATGGCCATATTTGGGAGTCGTTTTTCCAAGGCTCTATTTCTATTTCCATAGTTATTTTCTCCCATGTCATCAGTTGTTCACATACTATGTTATTAGATAGTCTACTATACACTCATGGCTCATCAACCCAAGTATGTATTTGAAAACCTATAAATATCTTTCTCATATTCCTGAAATATATTCTCCCTGGGGGAGTTTTCTTCATCTCATCTTATTATTAGGATTCACGGAATAACACAGGGAAGGGTCACTTGTATTCTCTGCTGATTGTTTAATTTGATCAGCATCCAAAACTGTAGGATATGCTTTTTCAGATAAATAAAGAAGATGTGAAAGATATCTCACGGACCAAATCTCCATTCTAAGAATTAGACCCTTAAGCTTAACTTCAACAGTTACATATAATAACACATCTAACACACAGTGAAAAGAAAATCTAAATTGAATGCATTTATAACCTCCCAAATGTCATTCAAGATTTCTGATTTCTGATTGTTCACTAGATGAAATAATTTTTAATTTCTGTGATCATCTCTGATATGTATTGATACATCAAGTTTCTCTCTGTTTGAAATTTGGGTGTGCTCAATAGAGCCATAGATCATTGTCGAGACCCAAATGTATGGTCCGGTTCTTGTAAAGAAATCCTCTATCTGATTGTGTATTAGACATCATCTGATGCACATCACCTTCAACAAACTTGATCAGGGGTCTGTTTCCTGAACGGCGCTTACACGTCTTCCTCAGCCTGATTCTTGAGGTGCGCCCCGATCCCCGATTGCGCATCCCACAGGGCTCGTTTGCATTTTGAATATGCAATTTGGAAGTCTCACCCAAGCCCCGCGCCGCCTTGCCAGCTTTTTTTTTCTCCTCCCTCTTTCCAGGCAAGCAAGTTCGGAGTGGAAAGTCAAGGACCCATACAGCCACCTCAAGAAACTCAGTTCGATCAGCTCAAATTCACGTTCGATTTCCGTCCGTTCCCGTTTCGATTTGAAAAAATCCCAGCTGAACGGATAGTATCTTTTTAGTCTCTCAAGATGTGAGTCAAGTGTTCTTCAGAGTATCTGCATGGTTTTTGCTCCGGTCTTTCGGTCTAAAGAGAGAAGAATACTGACTCTGTGCCGTTCCATAACTTCCGACAGGTTGGTTTTATTCGAATCCTCGGTCGGGTTCTGTCTCTTCAAAGTTGCTGATAACGGAAGCCTACTCACGGACGGGAACTTGTACAAGAAATTTGATTCCCCAGCTAGTGCATCCAACCTGTCAGTCATCATCTCACTCTTCTGTGGAATTCTTTTTTGGGTCGGCCTAACCTTGACGAAACCGCTTGATTTTTTTTGATCGTTCATCTCCGCAACAACGCCGATAATAGTGTTAAACTACAAAGTATTCACCGCTTCAAGAGTACTGCCGATGCTGTCGAAGACTTGAGCGCAATTGGGGATGGTAAACTATCCAAAAAGTTTGTCAACATTTGTCCTTCCCCAGGCTACAGACCCGGTTGTTGATTCCCAGCTCTGCTTCGTAGTTTGAAGAAGTTCTTGATTGATGAAATCTCGGGTGGTGTTGAGGGTAAGAAGAGCAAGGAGACTTTGGCCGTCGTGGATCCCAAACTAGGTACGTGTCACACGCCTACCCATAGCTCTGCATGTGAGCGCTATTCCATGTGACTCAATTCGATCGTACTACACTCTTGGAACTATCATCACAGGCGGAGCAATCACCAAGAAACTGGGATTTAACGTCCTCTCCGACTCGACCACTACCGACCTCTTTCGTGGAATTCGTTCTCAGCTAGCTCCGTTGTTGGGCGATTACAATGTTGATGAAAGTGACCTCAACACCATGAATCTAGGTCTCAGTCACTCATTGAGTCGGTAAGCTCGATCGCCTACTAGTTCTTCTCACAATTCGGTGCATTTCTCGCTTGCTTACTTTTTCCGGGCGAACTGTGATACTCTTAACAGATTCAAACTGAAATATTCTACCGACAAGGTCGATACCATGATCGTTCAAGCCATTGCATTACTTGATGATCTTGACAAGGAAGTCAACATTTATGCCATGAGGGTTAAGGAATGGTATGGATGGCATTTCCCCGAGATGGCCAAAATCATCTCCGACAACTTGGCATACGCTAAAATCGTTAAGACAATGGGTAAGGCCATTATTTAATCGTGAATCTGCATCCTTGAACACAAGCCTGACATGAAAAACCTGTTTAGGTCTTCGAACAAACTACTCCAAAACGGACTTCTCTGAGATTTTACCCGAGGAGCTAGAAGGCACTCTCAAGGCTTCCGCGGCGATCTCGATGGGCACAGAGATTTCAGACTCCGACTTACTACACATCCAATCCTTGGCCACCCAAGTGATCTCATTGATGCAATACCGGACCGAGCTATTCGAGTACCTCCGAAACCGAATGACGGCCATTGCACCTAATCTGACGGCTATCCTGGGCGAATTAGTCGGCGCAAGGTTGATCGCACACAGTGGGAGTCTTATCAATCTGGCCAAGGCACCCGCTTCGACTATCCAAATCCTCGGCGCCGAGAAGGCATTGTTTAGGGCCTTAAAAACCAAACATGATACCCCTAAGTACGGGTTGATCTTCCATTCCAGCTTGGTCGGTAGTGCACCGGGCAAGTTGAAAGGAAAGGTATGTCTCACTTTGAACCAAAGCAGTTTGCCCTTTCTTTTTGTCTTGAGGACGTCGGACGCTGATAACTGTTTTTTAATAGATGGCCCGTATGACGGCAGCTAAAGCGGCACTGTCTATTCGACACGATGCGCTAGCCGATGCAGATACGAAATCGACGGAAGAGGCTCCGTTAATTGGAATGGAAGCACGGATCAAATTGGAATCGCGACTCCGAAGATTGGAGCAATCTATCGGAATCCAGTCTAATCGAAAATCGGGTGTCTCTCAGGATCACCAAAAGCCCTTCTTCAAACGTCCTGACCCTGGATCATACAACCCTGCCGCCGATAGTCTCATGATCCCCGCCGCTAACAATCCTGCCCCTTCGACAACCGGCGAAGGCCAAAGTAAGAAACCTCTGATCGAGGAAATCAAATCTCAAACGAACGATGATGAAGAAGCGGTAAGCCCCATATTAATTAACTCGCATTGCAAGTTTCACATCCAGCTGATATGTTCCGATTGTGTGTTTGTTTCAGGAGGCCAAACGGAAACGAAAGGAAGAAAAGAAAGCCAAGAAAGCTGCCCGGGCCTCTTTACCAGGGACCACTTCAGCCCCGTCAACAGAGCCTTCTGTTCCTCCCCAACCCACATCCTCCTCTTCTAAGGACAAGAAACGCAAACATCACGATGACGACGACGACGACGAGGCGGGTGATAAGAGCGCTACTCAGAACGATGGCGCTGCCAAAGAGAAATCTTCCAAGTCGAGCAAGAAAAGTAAACGGAAATCCGCAGTCGTTTAGGAATCGAATCTTGATACCTTTCCCCCCCCCCCCCACATGCAACACTGATTTAACGATCACTATGCTTCAAAAAAATCAAATGTCCACTTCCTCGACCTTTTCTTGATTTCTTGACACTTCCTCTTTTCTTTTGATGATGTATTTTTTTTTCTCTTTGTTTGGGAAGGGGGGTGGCGGATTTATTGAGGGACCACATTTGATTTTTGTTCTTTCTGCTTTATTCTTCCTTACCATCCGTTCATGGTCCTTTCCTTTCTCGCCCTCACATAATTGCACCGTTTCTCCCTTCTTCTTCTTTTTTCGTTATGATGAGAAATACCATTCCTTTTTCCAACTATTCTTGTGGATTGGGGTCGTTCTTCATTGGATCGTCGAGGTCTTATGGTGTAGGGCTAAGTACAAGGGTCAAGAAAATGCTTGGGAACTGTGGTACAATCCGGTAATTATCATGATATACAATGATATAGATCAGCGTACATACACGTGAATTCACAGGGAAATTAACAGGGCGATTGGAGGACTTCCCGTCGTCCCAATTGGTTAATTCAGAAGGACATTCTAAATCAAGCGAAGCCTCTGGGGAAGCTCCGATTGTGATACAATGTTAAGCATATCATTTTGCATACGCGATGGCGGAGTGGTGTTTTGCATATCCCACTTTGCATACCCGCCACCTCCAACAGAGCCCTCCAGCGCAGCCTCCTTCGGGTCAAGAGTGGTACCGGACCGGATGTGGCTCTGCTTCAAGTTGGCTCGGAAAAGGTGTTGAGGTATGGTAAGCAGTAGTCTGAGGATCCAGTTCGCTGTCTGACTCGTGCATTTAATTCGGTTTCCAGGTCGTCTGTCTAAACCAACTTGCATCGTGACCTCCTTGTCCTTTGGGTTTCCTGTTATCATGGATCGATCGATGTCTCGCAATATTTGCGTTTGCGTCCGCGGAGCGATGATGGCCAAGAGGAGGAAAGGTACACACTCAAAAATAACTTGAAATTTCGATACAAAAAAAGGGTGGTCTCTGGATTTGTTTGCTCATCAGCTTTTCTCGGTCGTACTTCTTTTTTTCGGAGTATCTCAGCTTTCATGATCGACGCTCGACCGATTCGTAAATTCCTTTCCACAAGAACACCTCTAAGGACTCAAGAAACCACCGAGAAAGCTCCCAAAGAACCTCTCTCCTCTCTGACAGAAGAAGAATTCATCCACCAACGGCCTAATCGGATTCGGCCTCCGACCAAGAACACTTCGAACGTCTACCTACATCGGATTCACTCCCTACTCTACCCCCCACCCGCCTCGGAAATAGCAGCATTAGCATACCGGATACCCAACCTACCTAAGAGCTTAATATCTAAACAAGATTCCTTGAAATGGGTCGAGAGGTGTTTGGTCTCTCCAAGCTTCTGGCAGGGGATCGAAGAGGGGGATGTGAGAATTGATGACTTGAAGAAAGCGATTTCGAAATGGGTAGTCACTCGATCTTCAACTGGACAGACGAAAGGTCCCGAGCCGATGTATTTGCCCGGGAAAGTCACGGCCACCATCGCACCTGATCAATCCATGGACGCCAACGTCAAGATGCACCCCTTCGGCTCGAAAAGGAGGAGCGAGCTACGAGCCCAACAGGCCGGTATCGATCCTGATGTCGATCTACTCGACCTGGAACCCAACTGGAGAGATAACTACCCTAAATTCACCAACTTCCTCGACGATGAAAAACTTCATAACGAGGAGTTGGCAACATTGGGTAACAGCATTCTCGGTATGCTCGGATCGGAATGGCTGGACAGACGGTATCCTTATCTCCCCACAAAGTCAGCACCTTACTCATACCATCTCATCCGCTATTTCTCGTATATGCCTCGACAGCTAATACCGCGGCTCTGTTTTTTTTGCACAGGGCTTTCCAGGCTGCCCTTACAATGTATGTGGGTCCTCGGACATGCGCAGATGTCGCAAGACTCTGGGGAGTTTCATCAGGAACAGGCCTCTCAAACTTGACGATTGAAGGCAAGCCGAAGATCGAGAGTGCGGGGGTGTATGCGGGGGGGATCTTCGATCTGGATGGGAAGCCGAAAAACAAAGGTCAAAAGCATAAACAGGATGGGAGCAAGGGAGAAGAGGTTGCCCAGCCTGGCCTTCTAAGATGGCGGCGCGCCGACGGATTCGAGAAGGATAAAGAGATCGGCATGAGGGCCTCGGCCTTCAAACAGGGCGTCCTATACGAGGATGCGATGGCCAGCGTTTCGCGGGCGTTTGTCGGAATGGTCTACTCGTTGCATGGGATGAAGGCCGCCAGACAATTCGTGCGGGCAAACTGGTTCAGTCGGAGAGCTCAAGTAGGCGACTTGCTGAAGTTTACCAATCCGTTCCTGGTACTCAAGTATACGTTGGCCAAATATAATCGCGAGCCGCCTGTTGCAAGGTGTGCAGCCTTTATCTATCTCACTTATTTCGAGTCTGTTTTTTGTATCATTTTTACTAACGGATCCAATCCGGCATGATAGACTATTACGAGAGAGTGGAAGTGCTTCAGCGACTGCGATCTTTGTTGTGGGCTCATACTCTGGCACTCTGAAGCTGGGAGAAGCGTTTGGGACGTCGAAGAAGATGGCAGAGTATCGAGCCCACGAGGATGCGCTCCGGCGGATCTATCTGTCTCCGGGTGTGGAGGATCAAGCACTGGGCGGCTCGGAATTCCCGGCGCTGCCGAGTGACACGTTGATCGAGGCGCAGGGACACGTCTATCGAGCTCCTCAAAGCTTGGGCGACTTGGAGGTCGACGAGGGAAGCTCCCCCGATCGCTCCGGTCGCTTGGCTGATCAGTCGTTCGAGGACGTCTTGCTCGCTCGCACTCAGCATAACTTGCTCAAGTTTAAAAACTCTTTGGCTGCCCGTTCCGTCTCCTCTGCCTAGCAAAATTCCCCATTTTTTGTTTTTGTTTTCTTTGTTGCTCGAATCGACTATATCCAATGTCTCGTATCCTCTGCATTAATCCATACGTCGCATACTCTCTTATCAACCTTCATGGCTTCCTTCTCTTTTGGATTGCATCCATAATCATGGCCTTGCCTCATGAAACAAAAAAAAAAGGTATACCTTCAAGCCCGGGATTAAGGTTGTCTAGAAAAATGTGCTTGGACATTTTGTTGGTGTTCATTATTGTATAAATGAGATCAGGGGCTGGTGGGGCAAGTGTAGGATGGCTTCAAATGAATGGAGTGGTGTACTTTGTGATGGGATGCTTTTGCACCAAAGGTATATAATCCTTGGGTTTTTTTTTCTTGTGAAGGAACTGCTAGGGAAATATAATTTGGTAGACAAATTGTAGGTTACGGTATGCTGTTGTCACAAGATGTTTCTGGTGGGAATTGGGTGTTTCCAACTCCCCAGATTATCCAAAAAAAAGCTATGTTTTCATAGTAAAATCCTGCTTGGACATGGGTGGTCAATGGAAGCAATGGCTACTTATTGTTTCAAAAGCCTGTCAGTTCCCTCTTGTTCCACTCCCACTCACTCTCCAACATTCATCCCCCATTCTAAAGGAATATGTAGACATGGACTTATCATACTTTGTATCATAGTCACATGTGTTGAAATCTATGATTTTAACCTTGAGTGATTCTGAATTGTGGCTTTTTTGGATAGATGAACTGCAATATGTAATTTCAATTACAAATGGACCATAGCCTTCTTCTCATCATCCAGTGGTGATCATCAAGGAAAAACTCGTTGAGAGCACAGTTGGGTCTGCTCCTTGGGAAGGGTTTTCATCATGTTAGACGTAGCCCTTGGCTCTTGTGCAACCATGTTGAGCTGTGATGTCCAATGTTCTTGAATATTTCTGGTGGTAGGGAACAGGTGAAGAAGAAAGGAAGCTCTGTTTCATCAAATGTGACTATTATGGAATCCAAAGTAGATAAAGCAGATTATTCTGAACCTTGAATTAGAATTATTATTTGTTTTGCAATAACATGAGTATGTGCAGCCCGTAAATTCTTGCTGATTACAGCTGCAGTGCCAGGAGCTTAGGGATTCACTGGCCCTTTTTGTTATTCTGCCAATCCGTTTCCAAGAAGACTGGTCTTGAACGCTTGCCAGGAACCCCATCGGCACTCACTCCACGGACAGAGTACCAGCCACCCGGGCGATCCCGGTCCCTTATCGGTTCCATGGACGCTAACACTTTCATAGAGTGTCCAACAAGGTTTCCCAAAATGTCTCTTCCCCTCCAGTCAATCAGTTGGTGTGAACCGTGACAGCCCAATAAGGATCTCTTCCGGCACCATTTTCTGTCTGTCCAACCCTTGTGAGATTCATCTGCTTTTGATTTCCGTGGCGTCATGTTGAGCGAATCGGTTGGCCTTTCGGGATCCAGCGGGATAAAGATCCCGCCTGCTTCGACGTTGTCTGGTATTACGTCCGAAATGAGGTTGAAATTGCGACCCCACGCTTCAGCCTGGCAAAGCTGCATTAGTTCTGGTCGGAAATCTAAGGTATCGCAATTATAACATCTCGTCAAAGCATCTTACCCCGAATATTTCGTAGCCAGCTGCCCAGGCTTCACCTCTCCACGAAAGACCAGCATGTGTGCCGTTTGTAACGATAAATGCTTCCGGGCGGCCAGGAATTGGTTTGGGCGGAGGCTCTAGTCCGAGAATGGTGTAGCTGTACAATCACAACGTGTTGAAGTGTAAGTCGTGAACTGAAAGTCATTCTTCCGGTTAATGATGTGACCCACCTAGCTTCATAGGTCGAAGTGATCACTTCTTCCTCTTGGGTGTCGAATTCCTTTGAGGTTTGTTTCTGCCATCCCGGAACATGATAACCATGGATGTTGTGCCCTTCGCCATGGGTAAGAAACCCGCTCTTCTCCGAGTGAGGTAATAGTGACCAAGCTAATGCTCCGGCACAGGTCATCCGTTTATATACCTGTCTCCATACCTTCACATCGGAATCTAAAGTTTGCAGCCATTCCCATTCCCATAAAACAGAGGATATGGACAGCCGTTGGATGAGTTGAGTAATCCTAATCAGAGCAAGATGTAAATTCTTCTGTTTCCTTTAGATTGTGCCACTTACAAAAACCGTGTTCCCCGATTACTAGCGTCTTTCCGTAAGCGCGTACCTTACCATTCAGCCTGATTGCAGATCCGAGTCACATTTAGTTCCAAGACAAAAACCCTATTTTCAAAATTCACAAAACTCACATGTCGAAAGCTTCCGTGTCTCCTCCACCATCTGATCCGGCCAGAAAAAATGGTTACAATAAGCAGGTGGATTCTGATTAACTCAAAATGTCTATAGACACCGTTTCACCGACTAACAAAAGTGATAAGAAAACAAATCCACGTATTTGGATTCTAGCGCCTCTTTTTCCCAAGCGAACGATGGATGACGGGAACTAAAAAAATAACCTCGTCAGTTAGCACAGCAGCTAGTCATGGGTCCCAAAGAGGCAGAAGAGGACTTTTAGACTTACTAGCTTCCATCCATCACAAGTATCTTTGGTGCCAGGGTTTTAAGATGTCGGGAAACCTCAATAGTCCACTGTTTTGATCTAGGCATTAGTCAGGTGCGTCAGCGCGACTGAAAGAAAATGAACTAAGCTGACTGGAGCTGGAGCTGGCTGAGAACCTGTCGAAAATGGCAGAAATTGGTTAACTTTTGGGTTTTAAGCCTGACTTCCAGGAAACCGTCGTGGATGAAATTCGATCTCGTCAAACCTACTGAGGTTTGCAAACTGTCCCCAACTCATTTCGTTTCCCGTCTCGAAGGCCAAAATTGTGTTGTCGTCGCCATATCGAAGTCCATTGTATGTGTTGACTCGATTGAGGAAGAAAGTGATGAGTTTTTTGAAAGAGTCGATCATGCTTCTATCTTTGAAGAAATCGATCTTTTTGCCTGCCTCCTGATAGCCGTATATACCGTATCTGTGTCTTATTAGCTGATTTATATTGCGTTGACGTTGATTAAAGTTAGCTGAGTGTCGCCTTCAATACTAAAGCTCAAAAATCTCTTGACCGTACATCATTGAAGTCTCCGATGTAATTCGAGTCTGGATTTCCGTAATCCTATACAAGGTGAAGGAACATTAGAAATATCCCTCACAAAAATTCAATCACAGGCTTCTCATGGGAGGTTTGTTACACTGCTACTCACTTGGTTGATTATGGGTATTATTAACTTGACGCCATAATGACGGGATAGATCTAGCCTGCAACGTGCAAATTCAACGGAGCTTAGTTGAATCCTTTTCGATCACAATGGATTACCAACCGAGAGAGCAAAATTCTGACATCTGATCCATCTTCCTCCACTGGTCTTCATTGTATATCCAATCTGTTATCATTTGAGGAGTAATATTAAAGAAATAAGCTGCATCAGACTTCTATTCAATTGCCCAAAGTACAAAAAATTATCAAGAAATTTTGTGAGAATAGATAGCTACCATTTGTTCTCTTATCCCAACCGGTGATATGCCCAGCAGAGGGAGGCAGCTTTCCATGTTCCAAGGCATCATTGGCAATTTGCAAAGTGTACGTGCGGGTGACCGGAGCCCCAAAGGCAGCAATACTTTTGAATATATCACGACCTTGGTATTCTCCCCCTGTTGATCAATCAAGTTCGTAAGAGCACATTCAGCACCAACATCCTCACCGGCCAGATAATTTGGGCATATCTCAAGACATACCTTCAAAAATCGTCGGGGCGCTTTGAAATTTATGTAGCATCAATCGCATTCACGATATAACAGATCAAATCATTATCAGTTCAGTCGCCACAGGGAACCTATCATCATCGCAGTAGAATGTTTACTGTGAAATCTGAAGGAGGAACACACTTGAAATTCCTAAAATTAAATAGTTTTCCATTTAGATAGAGATTTCCGTCACCAGGTGCGTAGACGAAACCAGACCGAGAGCGATCAGATGACTCTGAGAGTCTCCTTTCTATGCTTGAGTTGTGATCCGGCAAATTAATATCACATTTTATCCTTTTGACCCAAATCAACCCGAACAAGATTGGGAATATTTTCATTCCTAAGAGTACGAGTGGCGCCTGGGCTTGGCCTTGAGATCGCAGATTCCTAGCTAGTATGTAAGAGAAAATCTACTGCGCAAGCCTATAAAAAAGATCGTCGCTCTGGGAACTATGATAAAGACGACCAGCGCTAATGGTGATGGCCGGTATACATATATGGGAACAGCTGCCTCCGAAGACGATTGTTTTTTTTTTGGATTAATTCTCTATTTCTGATGGCTTCAGATCGATATCTGCGCGCCGTGGTCAGCTTTCAATTAGGCCCCCGAATTCTACTTGCTAAAGGTGTTTCTGAGGTAAGGTCCAGCTCGGCAGAACACAGATTGTAACGTAGAACCAGGAGTTGAAGTGAGCTGATGGTGGAAAGTCTGACCTGCGGAGGAGGGATGATTATGTTGCTTGGGTCAAGATGGGAATCATGTGTGTACCTTTCAAATGCCCAAGGAGACAGGGAAGAGACAGGAGTCTGAATGGTGAACTCTCCAAGCATAAAGGAAGCTTGGTGCGGATCGTGGTCCAAATGCCAGAATGAATGTCTTGTAAGCCAAGAGCAAGCAAGCGTCACTCGCGACTTGCCAGAGTTATTTGGTGTTATGTAGATGTACAATCAATTGGCTCCGACCTACTCCGACTCAGCTCCGTTGTCTGTGTGTGCATTGCAGATCAGAAGCGGTCAGCAAGCGTGAAGTAATCCCGCTTGTGTATGTATGCCCATTGCCGCTGCAAAAGATTAAGAGATACCGATGCCTTCTTTCTATACATAGGGTTGTATACGATGATGTCCCTCACCAACGCATCCTGGTGGATGTTGCCACTTGACCAGCAACACTAACAGTCGCTTACCGAAAATACGCACAATGTTGTGAAGTTCCCTCTTCAATGCCGGGCTACAACGTCGTGCACTTTTTCAACAACGCACGCGCAAAGTTTTTTCTAGGGGGAAGAGTCGATTTACCGTCCATCTTGGGGGTCCTAAGCAGGGATTGAGGTTTGATGGCACATGTATTTGGACGATTGGAAGACACCTAAAGATATTTAAATTCATCTACTTCACCATGGGGTAACGGGCGAATGTGTCATTGTCAAGTAATTGCACTCCTCGAATCTTTCTTGCGCATTTATTTGGATCGGTTCTTGGTCTTGATTGGTATCAACAACAAATTAGCATCCGCTGTGACTCGTAGTCGGACACACCAAGGACTTCATCAAAATCGAGTCATTCATTCATGCTAATCCGAATAATACCTGTCTCATTATCATCAGCACGTACCACACAAGCCAGCTCTACATTAACTTTTCATTTCTCTTCATATTCTTAGTGAAAACCTGTCATGGGTGGGCTGAGGGCTGCATTGTTTTCTTCAACCCACCGTGTCAAGCAGAGAGCCAATCCTTCCTAGTGGAATGCTTGTCTGTGTCATCTATTTTTGTTGTTGTTTCCGCTTGATGCGTGTAACTTATCTTTTTCCCCTTTTCCGTTTCTTATATTTCATGAACCCAGATATAATCTTCTTCATTGTGGAGGCCGAATTGCACCCCCAAGGACGACTGAATTATTCAATCGAGGCAAATCTTGCAAAACCTCATAATGCATCATACCCGAATGCAGGTTGCTCATGTCAACTTGCCTTGCTGGCCGTTTTGTACTCCAGTTATGTGACTCCCCCCTGCCCTTAGACATGCAAAGAAAAATAAGCGATGTGCATCAAATTGAGTAGCAATAATGCATGCGCACACCTCCAACTCCGCCAAAGGGTACCAAAAAAAAACCCCAGGTTGCAGCATCCAAGCTTCCCCCAAGTCGCATTTCTGAAGAAATCATTGACGAAGAGTCAGAGGAGATTGTTTGGCAGGGATTTTTTGTTTGCGCTCATGAGGGGATGGAGAATTTGCATTACTAAATAGCTGAAAGCTACTAAAACACTAGATAAGTGCCAAGACAGCACTTCAGGAATCTTTCTGATAGGAGGGTTCCATTCCAAAAAAAAGTATGCGAAATCGGCCTAAATTCCAAAATCATAATCTAGGAACAGGTATGAATGAGAAATTTATCCCAAAAGGTGCTCCTAAAATAGCCCATCTTGAGTATGTAACACTGGGCCCAAACCATCAACAACTTAATTTTTTATTTAAATGCACACTTTTATTGGAGATCTGCTTTTTTTTTCTCTAGGGATTTTGGAGGGAACACCTGCAATTGGTATTCATGATTGGCCCATAAAGATCTGGTCCACACGTGCACCTGGAATAATTTGGGGGCACCAATTGGCCAGTGAAATCAATCCATTTTTACCTTTCAGAAGGGTGTCCTGAAATCACTCTGGGTCAGAAAATCAAGCTGCCATATACTTTTCAAGTCAAACAAAAATCACTCAACTCTTTGCCAAATTGAATGATGCTTTTTTCCTCATCATATATCATAAATGTCCTTTTAATGTCCCCACAAATGTAATGTCACCATAAATTCCTGATCATTTGAATTCTTTCCCTGTACAGTACCTTCTTCTGATACCAGTCCTTCCTGAAGCTCCTAAAACTTAACCAAGTCGCCTCCGGGCGCTTTGAAGAGGGGATAACTTCACCTGTGACTCGTGAGTATACTTATCACCATGGGATTCCTCAAAAGGTCTAATTAATGGCATCTTTCTCTGTTAATTGCAGCCTTGTAATGTGTTCAATTGTTACAGATGTGTGTATCATTGTTCTCCAACAATGGGGATAGAAAGCAGGTCACTACCGAATTCAACTGGAATATGCGCGCATGACTACATACTGGAGGATTGCAGCGCAATATTGCAGTTTTTGAATCTGGAGTTTGTGATTGGTGTCAAGATTGATTGGTGAGCGGACTCGTTTTTTGGTACATGTTTTTCCATGTTGCAATTGTTCTTCAAGCGCTCTCATGCAATCTGAAGTGTCCAAGGAGGCTGGATCCAAGTCGTTCCTGATGACTCTCCGGTTGATCACCATTTGAGCACCCACATTCAACAACGCCGTATATTGCCCGGTCAGATCATATTTCAGTTCACGAGGATTCGCGACTGCCAATCCGACACATCGCAAAACACTTCCATCCCTGCAATTAGCTGCAAGATTCCCAAGGCGTCATCCGATTCATATATATGACAGTATGATAGTTGCCAGCAGGCTAAACCGACTGATAACCTTTTGATGAATTTGTGTTGTCACAACAGGTCAAAATTGGCCTCGATGGGATATGGTCCATGGGATCTCGCAATACGGAAAAATGTCAGCCTTGAGAATTGTTTCCCAGACCCTGGTGGAATCCTGTGCAATCGCGTGCGGAGGATTTCAATCACTTGATTGCCCCCAGTTCCTCTGAATCTCCATGAGCATAGTCAGCAACACCTCGTTTCGCGAAACCTCTTAGGCAAGTTCCCTGCCTTCAACGACAGTCAGTTCTACCAAATGCTTAGCGTCAAAGAGATCTAATTGATGTATATCCGGCCTCAGTAGCGGTCGAGCAGCTTTCAATCAGATCTAATCCACGCGTTAAAAAAACGACAGCGCCATCGCGAACTTCAGGCCCCAGGAAACCCCGTCGGCGTCAAGCAGAGTCAGTCAACGTCCACACAGCCCTTTGCCTCAAGGCGTTGCTGAACTTGTCAACTTAACTTTCATCCACCATTCCAGACGCTCATTGAGACTATATATATTTCCCAAGCCAAATTTTAGCAAGCGTAGTGCCTGCTCGTCTAGCCATTAAAAAATCGCGATAGAATCACAGCAATCCGTGTCTGATAATGATGATAAAAGGGACGGAAAGATACCTGCTATGGTGGCTCTTACTTTGGAAATTAGTAGTAAGCTCAATGGAAGATGAGGGAAAATCGTTGAGCTCGCCAACAGGTTCACTGTCAAACAAAACACGGGCCACTACCAAATTTACCCCGAGGCAGTTGCCGAGACCCAAATACACCTCGGCGCGTGGATCTAGGCCTGGGTATGTGTCTGCGCCTGGGGATGGACATCTTTATCTTGATGGAGAGCTTTTTGACTTTAGAAGTTTCAAGTCAGTGATGTTCCCGTCTGCCATGGTATGCCATCTAAATGCTTATACTCTGTGTGTTAATTTTTTCCCTGGAAGTACTCCCACTTTACTCGACGGTGAGCAACATACGACTACCCGGTGTTCCAGATTACAAACATTGTGCTGAACACACAACATTTGGCATCTGGCTTGACCCTAAAAGGAGAGGAATTTCAAGCACGCGATTTGGTCGAAACAATTGCAGCATTTGGGAGCCCGGTTTCGCGTACATACACGTTACATGTGGCCAACGGCGTGTTCCCAGATGGCAAGGAAAAGCCGTCTTCGTCACACATCCTTGGATGGGACAATTCCACTAATGGTATGTAAAGTGTGACTCATATCTTTCCACTTGGTCGTAACACAATTCTTGACTGACACATGAAATAATTACTTCTGCCTTTAAAATCAGATTGGATATACAATGAAACTAACTGGAGGAATATAGACAAAGCGTGAGATTCAGTGTTCTTGTCAAGTTTCATTCATTGTAATGTGCTAAATGCCCATTGGAATCGTTTGCATGCGCAGGTTGGACCTGGCGCGTCATCATGGCGTCAAACTTATAATTCCAATCATCAATCAAGTAGGCGGGCCTCATGAGGGCTTCTATCTGGTGTCTACATAGGTAGATGAGAGTAATGCTGATGTTCAAATTAACATTTCGCTTCCGTAGGATTATGGGTCTAGCGACACAAACTGGGTTGGAAATTTCGTTGATGTAAGTACCTATTTCCTCACTTTGTTAGACTCTCCAATTTACATCGACCTCTCCACAGTTAATACGACATAGGTATAATATCCAAAATTACACCATTGCGCAACAGGCGGTAGATTGGTTCACAGACCGCGAAATGATTGAGTGTTACAAAAAAATAATATCTTTCTACTTGAACCGAATCAATACTTTCAATGGGATTCGTATTGGAGATGACCAAACAATACTAGCGTTTGAGACAGGGAATGAGATGAATTGGGGGTATCAAAATGGGTCTATTGGTACGTCCCATCAGTATCCAAATTTTGTGATCTACGACATTGTGATACATACTCTGATACCCAAGTATTTTTTGTGAGTAGCCCATGACAGACCTCCGCCCGCAAACGTCAGTTTACCTTTTTGTTTTTTGCAAAATGTGTTTCCGGATAAAGCCTCAAGGCAAAGTGAGTTGATTCTAAAACCACAGTGGACCATTGAAATTGCACATTTCATCAAGTTGCTAGCCCCGAAAACTCTAGTCATGGATGGCAGCTAGTATGTCAATTTTTCTAGGCTTGGCCACCTGTCAAATTGCTTGCAGGCTGAAAACCGCTGTCACTATGCATGATCTTTCCTTAGTTCCCGAAATCCGAAAATGGCATGGGAGGAAGAAGCCCTGGCTTCCCCATTTATAGACTTGCATTCTTATCATTTTTGTGAGCCACCTGACTTGCTTGCTTTGATCAGGCTGAGTTTTCTCACTTTTGAACAAAAAAAATTGATTTTGCATGAATGGATACGCAGATGGGGAGGGTGAAGCCCAGCCCTATCATGAGTAAGCAGAGTATTCCTATGAAAGATAGTGTTGACTGCCTTGAAAACGCTACTGAGTTCAAGCTGCCAATTGAGTCTGCAGAACCAGGTGAGGGTGCACAAGAAGACGTTCATCATTGGTGAACATGGCTTTTGTGAGTCAAGCAGCAGAACCAATTGCAAAGATTATCCTGTTATTATCTTTGGTGAAGCGTCTAAATGTGTTCTTTTTGATCACAGTTGACAAGGAAGCGGTATGGGAGGCTTTTTACAAGAATATCACTTGTGCTGGTGCTCTTGTTTGGTCGCTCCGGTCACACTCGGAAAATGGGGGCTTTGTCACACACGGCGAAGGCAACAATATTTACAGCTACCACGCTGCTGGATTTAGGTATCAGACATCAAAGAAGTTTGACACACAAGAAGCAGACATCATCTCTCTTACTTATGATGCAAGGTAAGTCTTCCATAGTTCTTTTACAAATGTAGTGCCTCCTAAATCAGTCAGGAAACTGATTATGTTCAAATTTTGGGCATGGTGATACCAAAAAGCTACAGAATCCTTAGGCTGAACCCACCACCTAAACCAATTCCTGGAAATCCAGAAGCATTCCTTGTCAGCAACGGCACACACGCTGGGATTTCATGGAGAGGAGCGCCTTGGGCGCAGGAATACCAAGTTCTTGGTGTAAGCAAATTTTAGCACCTGAACAAAAATAGGCCTTACACAGCTTTACATCTTCAGCACCTGATATGTTTATTTTTCCTAGGCTGTCTTTCAAGATGCACAATTTAGTATAATCTCGAGATATGTGCCCGATAATGTTGAGGAGGGACAACTCTTTGTCCCACTTGATCCCACCAATCCCACAAAGCCTATTCACATCACTTTGCCGGAACCATTACCCAATGAATCACACACAGGTTGGATTGACACTAAGTGGTGTCCCCCAAGATCTTCAGCCCTGTGTGGGGACATTCATTTTGACAAGGGAGATGGTATGTAATTCTCTCCATTTTATTTCTTTTTGTCAATACTAGAAGCTAATAGTCTGACTATTTGATTTAAATATCTACAGACACAAAACCTCCGACCTCCTACTGGCGTCTAATTCCCATGAGTCCACCGACCAAGCAAAATTCAACAAAGAACCACAATCTGAACCCCACCAGTCAAAATCATTTTATATCTGGTGGATGGTTCTCAGTGCGTGCAGTAAGCACCGATGGGGTTCCTGGCGGTATTTCTGAATCTGTTTTTCTGAAAACTCAATGGGAGCTGCATGTAGGTGAAAGAGAATGGAGTTGATGTAGTTACAAGGAAAAAATTATCCGTCCTAACATGTTAGATTTGAAATTTGACCTGAATCCATGACAACATGAATACTGCAAGCAACTTATGACATCCGCTCTTATAAAGAATTCACATCATAGTATGTTGTTGTTTTTGGAGGTCATTGTGTGTTTAGAACTTGAATTGAATATCTCTTGATTCTCATCTTTTTTAAATCTCAAATTTGTTGTACCAATACTCATTCTTAGACCCATGAATTCCTCTTCATGATATCTAGTGCTCTAGAGTAGCATCCACTTTTGAATAGTCACAATATTCTGCTTCCATCCTTGTTTGCACAAGGGCGGCCATATAGGAGCAGAATGCTTGTGTAAACACTAGGCTACCAATTTTATACTAAAGAAACTCTGTGACTCTGAGTCCTAGAGCAAGGTTTCAAATGCTTTTTATGTCCCATTGTTTTTGTCATAATTAAAATTTCAAAATGACTTTTGCAAGATTTTAATCACACTGTCTCTCAAACATTTTGTTAATCAGTTGATTCCAAGATCAAATTTTCAATAACCATTTGCAGGCTTGAAAATTCAACAATGATATAACATATAAACTCAGCCAGTTTGGATAAATCACACTCAACCATGAGCTAATTTCATCAATTTCTGAAAATTGTTCTATTCCGTTTTTGCTTTGTGTTTGTTACCTTAATCAGTCCGTCTCCTTTGTCTTATATCTTCCTTCTAGTCAAGATCTTTTGTTGGTTTGATCTGTAGTGAAATTTATGAAGTTACTTAGATCCATATTTTTCAATGCCATAGGTCAAATCCTGACTCTTAAAAACAGTCACAGAAGTCAGAAGAAGTCAGACATGATCAAATGATAGTTTGAAAGTTGAAGGTAGTGTACCCAAAATTTTGATATCAATATCTTGCATGGATCATGCTCTCTCTTAGGAATTTCTTGGTGGATATATACTGTGATCTGATTAATTGGGTGCTCAGATGCAGCTGTAAACTTGGTGTGGGCACTGGGGGATAAGTTAGCCAAAGTTCAAGATATCATGTGAAACCTGGCTTAACTCAACAATTTCTTGATGGTCAAAAAGGGAATATACCTTCTCCCCAATGAAATTTTAATCAACCTTCATTGATCTGGATGCAAACTTCTATTAGAGATCATCTGTTCTCCCTAGGGTCTTGGTTTGACAAAACTGCTGAAATTGAAGTTGATTGGCCAATAAAATCCAGTCCAAACACGCACTGGAGATAATTTTAGGGCACCGTATGGCCAGGGAAATCAATCCACTTATATTTTAGACCCCTTTTGGCAGTGTCATACATTTGAGCATAATATTGTATGATAAATTGGAGAAAAGTTAAACCACTCACAAATGGAGGACTTCCTGTGGGTTTTGCAGACTTTATTGGGTTATCTTGGGCACCAATCCATAATACCAATATTGCACTTTTTAAAGAGTCACAAGTATGGAAATAGGAGTAAAGAGACTGATTACTAGATTGCATGAAGAGGAAAAGACATAATCTTGTGGAGAAATACACACTATTTATACTACATGATTATGTATGAAAAGGAAAAGAGAAAAACATGGGAAAGTTGGAAACTATGGATGACTTGTCAAGATAGTTGTGAATGTTATTCATGTTGTAGCAGGAAGTACATAATGTAACATATTATGCACTGACTTGAATACATGACTGACAAGCCGTCATGACTATGGAAAACAACACTCTCCACCTCTCTCCACAGCTTGTCACCTTCCTCGACTCCGACACTTGTTTGTATTTACATAAAGCCTGTATATAAATACAACCTACTTTCTCTGTTTTGTTTTCTATTCTTTCCTTTCCATTAGCATTGCAATCCATTCATCCATTTTCTCTTCTTGTGTCAGCGCCTCAATAATTCATGACATCTACTGTAGTGATTCATAATCTTTTACATAAGATTATGTAATGAGACTACAACACTTTTGAGCCATAAAAAGTGTAATATTGTACTCAAGATGGCCTGGGATATGGGTTTTTGTTTCAGTAATGATTCAAGCAATTTTTGACCTTGTCCAAATAACAATTTTGTTACATAAGTTTGTTTGATTAACATTTTCTTGAATTAAGAATCCAATATTGCACTTGTATTTATGACACTGCCAAACAGGGCCTTACAGGAAGGTGTCCCAAAATGAATCTGAGTCAGAAAAGTAAACTGCCACCTACTTTTACAAATTCAAAAATCAAATCACTCAAATCTTTGCCAAATTGAATGTTGGTTTCTCCCCATCATACATCATGAATGTCACTAACAAGGAAATCCTATGAATTTGGATTCTTTCCCTGTTTTTGAGGTTGTATCATCAAGCTATATGGATGTCCATTGCTCTGGTGATATGTGTGTTCCTTGAAAGAAATATGGTTGTCCAATGCTCTGGTGATATGTCTTTTGATAAGGTGATGCTCTAAAGTTCTCTAGGGAATACTCATGTTGAGAATATCCTTCTTTTACACAAGTCCCGACTAGACATTACTGTACCTCTTATCTCCATAAGAGACTCCCTCAAAATTCCTGGTTACTTGCACCATTTTTTAGCCCTACCAGTTGAGCATTACATTGCGGATTTTATACATAGTGAGTAGAGACCCCCTCAGCTTGGAGGACTTGTTTTATTGGATCTTTTGTCCTCATTGTTCTTCTGATCTGGAGTGTATGTATGTCAAACCCTTTCAACCTCCAAGGAGGCTGGGTCCAAACAGTTGCTGATGACTGTTCGGTTGGTCACAAGTTGAGGATCTATGTACAACACCGTCCATTGCCCGGTCAGGTCACATTTCACGATGGTTCGTGACTGCTGATACGACACATCGCAAAGAACTTCATTTCGCCTCTATCCCTGCAACTGATTCCTGAGGCGTCCCAGTGATCTGATGTGACACATGCCAGCAGGTGTAGAAAATAACCATTTTATGTATTTGTGATGTCACAACAGGTCACAATTGACCTCGATGAGATACCGCAAGTTGGAAAAGTGTCTTCCTTGAGAATTGTCTCTCAGTGCAGTCGCATGCGGAGGAGAAATTTGTTCACTTGGTTGTACTCATTCCCTCTGAATCTCCATGAGCACAGTCAGCGAAATTTCCAAAACTCGCTTCGCGAAACCATTTTGGGCAAGCGCTTCGCCGTCCACAACAGTCAGTCCTTAACGAACCCTTGATATCAAAGAGACCCAATTAATGTGCATCCACCTCAGCGGTCCAGCAGCTTCGAAATTGACCTAATCCACTCGATATCAACAAGACAGCGCCGTTGCGAACTTCACAGAATCCCCGTCTAGCAGAGTCAATCAACATTGACACAGTCTTTTGCCTCAACGTTGCTTAACCAATCAACAACCAATCTATCATCTTTACTTTCATCAGGTATTGCAGACACTTCTTGACATCATTCAGACCTCCCCAGCAAATCCACGCCTATCCATCAAAACTCGAATAGAATCACAGTAATCAGTGTCCGATAATCATGACAAAAGTGCCAGCAACGTGCCTAATATGGGGGCTCTGCCTCTGGCGACTAGCAGTCAGCTCAAAGGCAGATGAGAGGAAATCCTTGAGTTTGCCCACAGGTAACAGCACACGTGGCAGTACCAAATTTGTCCCGAGGTTTTTGCCCAGACCCAAATATATCTCAACGCGCGGATCTAGGCCTGGATTTGTCTCAGCGCCTGGCGATGGGCATCTTTATCTTGATGGAGAGCTGTTCGACTTTAGAAGCTTTAAGTAAGTGACGCTCTCCTTTACCATTGCATGCCAGCTAGATGTATATATTCATCCCAATCTACGTATTGCCTTCTCTCCTGGAAGCACTCCCACTCTACTCGACGGTGCGCAACATACCCGGTGTTCAGTTCATGAAGAATGCGCTGAATAGCTTTTTGAATCTCTTCACAGGCGAAGAATTTCAAGCGCGTGATTTGATGGAAACGATCTCAGCATTTGGGAGCCCGGTTTCGCGTACATACACGTTACATGTGGCCAACGGCATGTTCCCAGATGGCAAGCAAAAATCGAGTTCTTCACACATCCTTGGATGGGACAATTCCGCTAGTGGTATGTAAGGTCCGGTTGAAGTTCATCAATTTTCGGGTCATGATACGATACTGGACTCACAAAGACCGTAAAATCATAAATTCTGCCTTACCGATTAGATTGGGTATACAACGAAACAAATTGGAGGAATATCGACAAAGCGTGAGACTCAGCGTCATTGTCAAGTTGCATCCATTGCTCTGCACTCAATACCCTTTCCGATGATTCGCATGCGCAGGTTGGACCTAGCGCGCCAGCATGGTGTCAAACTGATAATCCCAATCATCAATCAAGTAGGCAGGCCTGATGAGGGCTTTTGTGAGTGGCGTCTAGGAAGATGGATTTATGCTGACATAAAATTTGCGTGTCCTTTGCGTAGGATTATGGGTCTAGTGATACCAACTGGGTTGGAAATTTCGCTGATGTACATAAGCTCCAATTTTTCCAATTTGTAATTGTAGGGCTCTTCAATTAACATTGACCTCTCCATAGCTGATACGACATAGGTACAATATCCAAAACTACACTATTGCACAACAGGCAGTCGATTGGTTCACAGACCGCGAAATGATCAAGTGTTACAAACAAATGATATCTTTCTACTTGAACCGAATCAACACATTCAATGGTATTCGTATCGGAGATGACCCGACAATATTAGCGTTTGAGACAGGGAATGAAATGAACTGGGGGTATCAAAATGGATCTAATGGTACGTCCCATTAGTAACGAACCATTGTCATCTACAATCTCGTGATACCTACTCTGACTTGTGGGCTTTCTGTGGGTAGCGCATGACAGGCCTGCCCGAGCAAATGTAAGTCAAAATCAACTTGATTCTTGTTCTGTCATTTTGGCCATGGATAAATTCAAACGGAGTTGATTATAAAATTGCAGTGGACCATTGAAATCGCGCAGTTCATCAAGTCACTGGCCCCCAAAACCCTGGTAATGGATGGCAGCTAGTATGTATTTTTTTTTTTCTCGAGCTTGTTGGTCATCAGTTCCGTTTCCTGTTGGTTCAGACCACCGTGACTCTGCATGCTTTTGCCTTAGTTCCCGAAATCCAAAACTGGCGTGGGAAGAGGAAGCTCTAGCTTCTCCATTCGTAGACTTGTTCTCTTACCATTTTTGTGAGCTGCTTGAACCCACTCTGCTCTAGTGAGGCCGAGCACTTCACCGATTTTGACTGGAAGATTACAATTTTGCGCGACTGGATACGCAGATGGTGAGGGTGAAACCCTGCCCTATCATGAGTAAGCAGATTGACCCTGTGAAAAACGCCACTGACTGCCTTGAAATGTTTACTGACTGCAAGTTGGCAATCTAGTCTGCAAAACCAGGTGCGAGCACATGGGAAGACGTTCATCGTTGGAGAACATGGTTTTTGTCAGTCAAGCATTAGATTGGTCGCATGATTTGCTTTGTTGAAGTATTTAACCCTTTCATTTTTTCATCACAGATGATAAGCCCGCAGTATGGGAGGCTTTTTACAAAAATGTCACTTGCGCTGGTACCCTTGTTTGGTCACTTCGGTCACACTCGGAAAATGGGGGTTTTGTCACTCACGGCGAGGGCCACAACATCTCCAGCTATCATGCCCCGGGATTCAGGAATCAGACATCGGAAAAATTTGACACCCAAGAGGCCGACGTTATTTCTTCCACTTATGATGCTAGGTGAGTCTGGCATAGTATTGACTCGTCTGCAGCGCGCCATTGATCATTCAGGCGACCGCTTATATATGAAATTTTGGTATGATGTCAAACAGCTACAGAATCCTTGGGTTGGAACCACCTCCCAAACCAATTCCTGGGACTCCAGAAGCATTCCTTGTGAGCAACGGCACACATGCAGGTATTTCATGGAGAGGAGCAGCTTGGGCGCAGCAATACGAAGTGCTTGGTGTAAGCAAGTTTTAACATTTGGACCCCGAATGCACCCACCATTTTACATCTTCAACGACTGATGAACCTAACTTTTCCAGGCTATCTTTCAAGATGCACAATTTAGCACTATCTCAAGATTCGTGCCAGACAATGTTGAGGATGGACAACTCTTTGTTCCACTCGATCCCACAGATCCCACAAAGCCCATTCATATCGCTTTACCAGAACCAATACCTCATCAATCACATGCAGGTTGGATTGACACTAAGTGGTGCCCCCCGGGATCTTCCGCCCCTTGTGGGGACATTCATTTTGATAAGCAAGAGGGTAATTCACAGCAGCTATTTCTGTCATAGAAACTATCTGACATTTTGATAATCTTTCTACAGACGCGAAACCTCCAACAACCTACCGGCGTCTGATGCCCATGAGTCCACCAACTGAGCAAAATTCAACAAAGAGCCACGAGCTGAACCCCACCAGTCAAAATCGGTTGATATCTGGTGGATGGTTCTCAGTGCGTGCAGTCAGCGCTGATGGGGTGCCTGGCGGTATTTCTGAATCTGTTTTCCTGAAAACTCAATGGGAGCCACATGTAGGCGAAAGAGAGTGGAGTTGATGTGGTTGCAAAGGCAATGTAACCTGTCATTAACCAAAATAGATTCCATGATAATACAAATGCTGTAAACCAATTACTACATCCACTTTTATTAATAATTCACATCATGAAATGTTGTTGTTTTTGAAGTCCATTGGTTGTTTGAAAGTTGAATTGAATATCTTTTTATTCCCATTTCTCTGTAAATACATAATCACAATGTTCTGCTTCCATCCTTGTTTGTGCAAGGTAGGCAAAACAGGAGCAAAATGCTTGTGTGAGAATTGCTTGGCTAACAACTTCATGCCACAGGCACTCAGTGAGCTTGAGGCCTAGAATGGTTTTTTAATTGCTTCTTACAGCGGTGGGTCGTTACGCTACGCTACACTTTTGGCCCAAAAAGCGTAGCGTAGCGGCGCTTTTTTTCATCCAAAAACCGTAGTGTTAGCGGTATTTCGCTACGCTATGCTGCGCTACAGCGCTTTTAGCGGAAAAAGCGGCCAAAAACCGCTAAAAACCGCTGTAGCGCAGCGTAGTGGGCCCTTTTTTGCGGCCCACACACGTAGCGTTAGCAGTGTCGTGGTGGAATTCCGCTACGCTACGCTAATTGCTAACAGCAATTCTGCTGTGTTACGCTACACTAACCGCTACGGTTAGTGTAGCGGCCCACCGTTGCTTCTTATGTCACATTCTCCAAATGACTATTGTGATATTTCAATTATACTGTTCACAGCCCCCAAAGTTTAACAAACATTTTTTAGACATCACTTTGAAATAATTCCACTGATCCTTTGCAAAAGCAAGCTGAATTGTTTATGGCAGTTCACAACAGTCTTTTTGGATGCCACTTTATCTGAAAGTGAGATCTGGTTTGACACATCTATGACTGAATTTGAGGGTAGAACAAAGCCCAATCATCAAATTTAATGTATAGCGCTCCCAAAAAGACTATGTAGCTCAGCAAGAAGGGTGTATTTGAACACTGATATTTGCAATAATACAGGCCAATAAGGTTAAAAAATGGTATGTATATGTTGCACTATTTTCATTAGACCTTTCTGATTAGACATGATCAAATGGCAGTTTGAAAGTTGAGGGTAGTGTGCCCAACACTTTTATATTCCATGGATCAAGTTCTCTATTAGAAAGCTGCTGGTGAATTTGTTGATCTGTTTTTTGGGTGCAGGTGATCTGCCTAAGATGCAGTCGTAAAACTTGACAAGACTGGGGGTTAAGTTAGCCAAGGTTTAAGTTACCGGGTGAAACATGACTTACCGTAACAGTGTGTGTACTTCAGCACCCACGTCTCGCGTCTCGCCGCGCCCGCACCCCAATGGTCAACAAGGGAATACTCAAATCTTTTCTCTCAATCAAGCTATCGACCTTCATCAATCCATCCTGTCGATTTCGAAGCGATTTTCGAGAACTGAAATACATCTACATACTCAAGACGACGAAGGACCTATCGAATCTTCAAGAGAAAAAAGAGCAATTCTACTACAGACATGTCGACCGATCTCACTCAGCTCCACCATCTGTTCCTCCATGCCATGCTTTTACGACGCGTGGCTTCCTATGAGAAATGGCTAGAGGTATGGAAGAAATCGGCTAGGATTCTTGGAAGTGAGCATCCATCCCTTTCACAAAATGAACTGCATAGAAAACTGATGGATTATATCTTCTTCATATCCATACCGTTTTTCTTTTATCCACAGTCAACGTATCGGATAATGGTTTTGTTCAGTTTTACGGAGAAATTAACGATCGAATCGAACGCTTCGGTTTCCGTATCGATCTCCTGTGTGAGGAAGGTAATGGGCCGATCGATATGGACCAAATCGAACAAGATACCGCCGACAATCGCCGTCTAAAAACGAAACGTTGGATGGCCTTGGTCAGCTCTTGTTGCACTCAGAAAAAAAAAACTACATCCTGTCAAGAGTCATCCAAGCTGACGACCAAGTGTTGGAATCGCAATTGTGTTTTCCGGGGGGATTTAATTAGGTCAACACTCGGTCAGACGACAGTGCAAAGCTTGGGACAGAATTCAATCCGACCGAGATCAGCTTTTACAAGAAGATAGTCGACAACATCATCCTTTCAGCAAATTACCGATATTGTCTCTCTCGCCACGACTGTTTACGACTCACAACCACTCTCCAAGCGAGTCTTAAGAAAAGTGATGCCGAAAAATGTCTGCGTATCTTGGTCAAGAAAGGTATACAAACAACACACTCATCTGATTCGTTCCCTCTGCTCGATACTTCAACGAGACCAAAGAATCGCCCAGAAACGTCTTTGACATGGTGTATCTCTTCTTCGATTTAGGCTGGCTGAACGAATCCCGGACCGGCTGTTATTCCCTCTCGATCAGAGCAAAACTGGAACTCAAATCGTATATCGAAGAAAACTATAACGAGGAAGACAGGCCCCCGCAATGTGCTGCATGTAGAGAGATCGTCATGCGAGTTGAGTCTCAATGTTTCCCCATTTCCATCTATCAGACTCAGCGTAGATCGATTTTTATTAAACTTTTTCTCTTCTTAATGTTGTGCCATCCCCGTTTGCAAACCCGACTTCCTATCCAAACTCGTTTCGCAACAAACAAGGGCTTTAAATGTCCGAATTCAGAATGTCCCAAAGCAATGCATGTGACGTGTATAATCAACCAATCCAGACAAGCCCACATATGTCCATCCTGTCGAAGGTACCCCATCAACCTTTCCACCTAACCCCGACGACCTTGTATGTGTGAGAGACGTATTGCTGAGCTCCGGACGGCTTGATTTTTTTTTAGTCCTTTCAATTACAGAACTCTCATAGGAGAAGACGCACCGAAAGGCGAAAGTCGGGCGACTGTGGATGACGAGGATGACGATCCAGAAAACGAATCAACACAGACGACCATCGAACCCAATGAGAGACGACGCAGTAAGCGCGCCCGTATCCAATCCACACAAGAGCCGGATGAGCTCGATGACCATGACGCCTGAGACCCCCGGAAAAAATCGCTTCCTCACTTGTCCAGCACTTTGTCCACAATCAACAAAAAGACCATCCTCCCTCTTCTCCCTGCTTTGTCTGAATTGTTATCTCCCCTTCTCTTTTCTTGTGTGGGTTTCTCCTCTTATTCATCTGTACAAGGCATTTTATCTTCATGTTTCCAGTTTTTTTTTATCGTCAGTTCTTGATCTCATGAGACTAGCAAACCATATTCTTCGCTTTCTTTCTTTTGGTTATACAAGGCAATCAAATAGCTTGGATCTGTAACAGGGAATAATAATGAACAAAACAAGCTTGGTCTTGAGCTGCCCTGGCCTGCTGACCACTGGTGTTTTGTTGTTGAGGATTAATGGGCCAATCCTTATTTGTGTGAAAGATCAATGCTCATGATGCTCATATGAAGGGTATGTAACAGTAGCAACCCAGGTAGATATTTATATGTAGCATGCAGGTCAAAAACCAAACTAACGAAAAGATGAAAACTGTTTGCAAGAAAGATGGATGTCAATAAACAAACATGTCAACACTGGATCATCTTCAAACTCGACTTGATATTTTCTACTTAGAACTCCGAACTCGCTGTTTCGCCATCATCTTCCACCACCGACAAAACATTTTCCACCTTTCCGTATTTGCTTGTTCCTTTTCATTGGAAATCAAACAACCGGAAGGAACTTCGAATTCGGCTCCGATCATCAGGTAAACAAACACTCGTCGATTTAGGAGGAGCAGCCAGAATCGGCTTCTGGACAGGTACATAGTCACTTTCCTGTGATGATCCTTGTCTTGGAGAATACTCATGATCGATCGTCTGCGTCCTTCTCTTCTTCCGTTGTACATACATAGGCTGGTTCGTCGTGAAATTCCTGTCGCTCAAAGGGAAGTCGTCTCTGGTGTTGTTCTCGTCTCAAGACTTGTTCTTCATCACCTGGGTTTATCATTCAGGTATTTATTTGATTTTCATGCTGATGATTTCATCATAAAAGATATTCTAATTGTGGGGTTTTTATTCACATTTTAGCAAGAATATTGTACTTTAAGATTTCTAACGAACGAGATGGCAGGGCTTCCGGTTGACCCGATGGACGATTTATCAAGCTCAAGCACCGAAAGCGAGCATGAAGAGGACACGATGACGATGAAGCTAAGTCGAGACAACTGGCCTGAATGGAAGCGATCGTTCCAAGACATGATTATTGGTCGAGGAGATGAAGAGATATTTGACTCGGCTTGGTGCGAAAGCAACAAAGAAAAGAAAGTGTTCCGACAGAAATCCGCTCTGGCTTTCACCCTTCTCAACTCCTGTCTCTCCTCCGATCTCAAGCCGGTCGCCTCAGCTGCCGAGAGCTTCAGTCAAGCTATGGAGGATTTAGAAGAAATCTGTGGCCAAGTATCCACGATCAAGCTCGCCGATCAACTGCACACTTTGCTCTGCTCCTGTGATTATATCCCCGGATCCTCGATCGCCTCTCATGTCGCCAAATTCCAGGCCTTGTATACCTCTCTCTGCAAGCCTTCACTCGCGTTGACCATGGATACGGCTATGGCCGGGATCTTTTTCCTCAAGAGTTTTCGTCTTGATCAGTCGTTGGCTCCATTGATTCAAATTCTTTATGGCCTTGTTCCATTTACGTTTGAAAGGCTCGCTGCCCGAATGAATCTTGAAGATAGGCGAGCTTCTGCTTCGATTAACACCGTCGTCTCATCCATATCAGTTGGCCGTCACAAGAAATACGAATCCAAGCCTTCGACACGAGTCCCTATTCATGAAAATCAGTCTAGCCATTCAAAATTCAAGTCTCAAATCAATAATCAAGAATTGGAAGGATTGATTGGCTCTTTGACTAAGCTTCACTCTCAAATATTGAAATGTAGCGATGAATCTGAATCTGAAGATGTTGCTGAATCTATTGATGAAAATTCGACCGACGACTTTGAAGAGCTTAACACTGGAAAAATCCGTCTAGTCCTTGCTACTGCTGCCTCAAAATCAACCGTTACGGATGCTCGTCTCCTTTCAGACTTGCAACCGATCAACAAGAAAATGCGCACCTCCTCTGGAGCGATTGATGGAATCACTCATCTTGGTTCGATGCGATTTGGGAAACACAAGCTTTTCCCGGTATATCTTGCTCCTTCGGCAAAATGTAATCTGATTTCAGTTTCTCAACTGGAAGACCATGGTTTTCGATGTGTCCATAAGAACAAGCTTATCATCGTGTACATGGGATCGACGATCATCGAACGATTTCCTCGTACCGGTCATCTTTATGTTTCCTCTGGTTCCAGTCTTGTTCTCTCATCTCATGATGAATCCTTATGCTCGATTAATGGGAAGAATGCGCTCAAGGATTGGCATGTCATTCTCGGCCATCCGTCGGATCTCTATCTCAAGAAATTCTTTGAATCGATGAGGATCTCACCGAACGATCAATCCGGCTCTTCGGCCGAATGTGAAGTTTGTAGGATGTCAAAATTACCGCAATCTTTGCTCAGTAACCCACTTCCTTCGGCATCTTCCCCTTTTAAGATGATTCACATCGACCTCCTTAAAATCTCACCTCACTCTCGCGGTTCTTGCCAGTACATTCTAGTTCTCATAGATGATTTCTCTAGATTCAATCGAATCTACATGATCCAAAAGAAGTCAGACTCGGAAGTGAAGATGATCTGTTATCTGAATGAAATCAAGAATCGCACTGGTATAACGCCTTCGATTATCCAGACCGATCGTGGAGGAGAATTTGGATCGCCTGTCTTCAAAGCCTTCCTTTCGGAACGCGGAATCGCTCTCAAGCAAGGAGCTGCTCATTCTTCTCAAACGAACGGTTGTTTGGCCGAGCGGTTCAACCAACTGCTTCTGGTCAAGATTCGGTGCATGTTAGCACAATCTTCGGTTCCGCTCAACTATTGGGATGAAGCAGCCAAACTGGCGTCTTCGTTAATCAACATGTTACCATCCTTGGCCTTGGGCTGGAAATCACCGACCTCGATTCTTGAGGAACGCAGAACTTTGATCGAGCCAGTGAGACACGTCCATACGCTAATCCCATTCGGACTCAAGGTCAATGTTCATACACAATTCGATCCTTCCATAATCCTTCCGTCTTCTGAGCCACTTCTATTCCTTGGCTATCAGCCCAGATCAGATGCCATGCGTTTTCTTGATCCGATCTCTCGCCGGATAGTTATCAGTCGCGACTACACCCCTTTTGTCCTTTCTTTTCCGTACAGGTCTAAATCCGCTATGAAGAAGTTGTCTACGACTTTGCCTACATCATCAGCAGCACTAGTCAATGAGCATCAATATCCTCCGAATCCTGAATAAACTCGACTGCTTCTACATCTCCATCTGTACCGTCGTCTGTCCCACCGATACCTGAGGAATACCTCACCATACTCAAGTGGGGTGAAAGTTGAGAAAAACAGCTAACTAAGCGAGGGGCGGCATGTTGAGCTGGGTGAAGATTGATGATCATGACAATCAAAAATGGCGACAAAAATATTCATATGAAGATAGCAATAGCAACCCAGATAACATACAGGATAAACGCCAAGCTGATGGCCATATTTAGAACAATCCAAAACTAACGACACTGTGATGCAACCCAAGCTAACAACCATGATCAATAACCCAAAATAACGACTATGTCCAAGCCCAAAAGGATGCTAATAAGACTTGCTACAATGGATGAGATACAGACTCTTGCTAACTCACATGATGTATGTATGTAGAATACATAATTAAGATGATTGCTAGTAGACATACATGACGTGAAGCAGCAACATATGCTCTGTATAAATATATAAGTCTATGAGGAAAAAAGAAACACAGGCACACAGCTTGGAATGGTATCCGTGAGTTACCATGACTGATCTCAATTAACCGCATTCGCATTCCAATCAGTTTTAAGGAAAACTGATTGAGAAAGACCTCCAGGGGTCCCATCGGCGCTGATTGCGCGAACGGAGAACCAACCCCCGGTGAATGAGAGAGAAAGTTGTGGGAGTGGGATGGTAGGCAGAGGGGGGCCCATAGGGAGCAAACGCTTGTAAATGTTTTGGGCAGTATCGATTGCATCGGAGAAGATGGTGTGTTGGGTCTGATTGGAGCGCGGATTGGACGGATCGTCCACTTGTTTTGGGAAATCGACTTCCAGAGGACACGGTGCTGGTGATCCGGGTAAACACCACTTGGTGTCAATGAACCCCGCATGGGATCTTTCTGGGATCGGAGCTGGGAGGGTGATCTTGATCGGCTTGGTTGGGTCGTGTGGGTCCAAGGGCACAAAGAGCTGCCCAGCTTCCACGTTATCCTGCACGGATTGCGAGATTAGATTGAAGCGCAAGTCTTGCAGAAAGGCCTGGTAGAAAAAAAGAGATATTTATCGCAAATCATCAGGCTTGTTGGGTGGGCAATGGCAAGGAAACAAAGACGCGGATATCAAAGGAGAGCAGGTTTCCGTACCCCATACACTTCGTATTGTTGCGCCCATGCCGAGCCTCTCCATGAAAGACCGGCATGCGTGCCATTGGTTACGAGGAATGCATCTGGGGCACCCGGCACTGGTTTAGGCGGTGGCTCCAGTCCAAGGACTGTATAGCTGTTGAGTGAACCCAGACGCAAGACGAAAAACCAACAGGTTATTTTCAAGCAAAACAAAACCAGCGAGCTCAAGACGCACCTGGCATCATAAGTGAACGAGATAACGTCGGCCTCTTGAGTGTCGAATTTGTCTGAGGTCTGATTCCTGAAGCCCGGGGCATGATAGCTGAAAATGTTGTTGCCTTCGCCATGGGTGACAAAGCCCCCATCTTCGGAATGTGAGCGAAGCGACCAGATAAGAGCACCGGCACAAGTCGCATTTTTGTAGAATGAATCATAGACTTCCACTTTGTCATCTGTGATCAGAAAAAAAAAAAAAAAAAAAAAAGTTAGACGGCTGGTGCTATGCAATAGTCGTGTATTGTTTCGGACCCACAAAAGCCATGCTCGCCGACGATGAACGTTTTTCCGTGCGCTCGTACTTGGTCTTGTAGGCTGAAGTTCCATACTTTGGTCAGCTCATCCTTCATTTACCCAACAAATGTGGTTGGATTGATTACCTTTGATAAGGACGAAGATCGCCAGTACCATCTGCGTGTTTATTTAGTGTAAAGTTAGCTCTTCGTGTGTCTAAATAATCAAGCCAATGTAGCCTCGTGGAAGAGAGTAACTCACAAAAATGATAAGAATATAAGTCCACGAAAGGGGAATCCAGAACTTCGTCTTCCCACGCGGCTGTTGGATTACGCGAGCTGCACGAAAAAAGAAGTTCTTCAATGTGTCAGTGTTTTCCAGCTTACAAGGAATGGGTCGTCGAGATTGGTCGACATACTAGCTGCCATCCATCACCAAAGTCTTTGGAGCAAGTGACTTGATGTGCTTCGCGATTTCAATTGTCCACTGTATTTTTTTTGACCAGAAACTCCGGTCAGACATACCACCACCATTTCTCCATTTGTTTAATTTTGAAAAAGAAAAGGATTGCTTATGAGACCAACATTTGCCGGGGCCGGTCTGTCGTCTATAGATGGATGCCAATGTACCGGCTTGAATGTTAGAGCGTGGCTCGGAAGCAACTAAAAGGATGCACAACAAGGGGACACATACGGATCGTCTGATTTTCACGACCCCAATTCATTTCGTTTCCCGTCTCAAAGGCCAAGATCGTCTGATCATCTCCGATTCGAATCCCATTATAGGTGTTGATTCGGTTGAGGAAATAGGTGATTATCTGCTTGTAACTTGCTATCATTTCGCGGTCTGTGAACCAATCCACGGTGCGTTGTGCTTCCGTATAGTTTTGGATATTGTATCTATGTCGGATCAACTGTGGAGAGACTCATTAAGAACTCAGTCGCCCTTAAGAGTAGAATAAGCGATGCTTCAACTTACATCATTGAAATTTCCAACGAAGTCGCTGTCGACAGGCCCGTAATCCTAGTGAAAATTAAGTTTTTTTTAGCGGTTACAATTAGTCCAATTGACTCAAATATGATCGATTTCTCTTTTCGTATACATACTTGATTAATAATGGGGATTATAACTCTGACACCATGTTGGCGCGCTAGGTCCAGCCTGTGCGCGTCGATTGTGGGTGGGACCTCTTAGCATGCGGAAACAAAGATAACTTGACAAACACACGGGATCTCACGCTTTATCGATATCCCTCCAATTGGTCTCGTTGTAATTCCAATCTGAATTTGAATAAAAACAAGATTTCGTTAATTTTGTCTTGATTTCTGGCTCATCAGTCTGGTCAGAAACGTCAAGGAGGGAGGGAGAGAGGATAAAACTGACCATTGGTATAATCATTCCATCCAAGGATGTGTGCCCAAGCGGGCGGTTGCTGGCCATCTGAGAACATGGTGTTGGCCACATGCAACGTATAGGTCCGGGTCACCGGACTTCCAAACGCCGAAATCGTTTCGACCAAGTCGCGTGCTTGGAACTCTTTGCCTCCTGTTTAGGAAAAGCTATTCAGCATCAAGTTAACTTAGAAGTTGAGGCGCTGTTTCGCACCGTCGAAGAGGGTGGGGCAGCTTCAAACAAGAATTTAGAAAGTGTGGTTAACAAAAGCTTTTGAAATCCAGCACAAAATTAATTCAATGCATTCCGGAGCATGTATTGTAAGGACGAGAAAAAAAAAATGATTTACTTGAAGCTTCTGAAGTCAAAAAGCTCGCCATTGAGGTAGAGATGTCCGTCCCCAGGTGCTGAGACAAACCCGTGCTTGGAGCCGAGTGCAGAGACGAAACCGGCTGGAGACGACGAGCTGCCCGGAAGTCGGGAATTGACACGGACGTTGGTTGATGGGGAGCCTGTGGTGGTGTTAAAAGGCGCTTGTACTTCGGCCATAGAGCCCCATGCTAATCGTAACAGGCAGAAAGCCCAAGGCAGGTAGCCCGTTTGTACCTTTCGCATCATCCTTGGAATTAATTGTTCAAAGTGATCAGAGGGCAGGGCAAGAGAAGTTGGTCAAATAGCACATTGATGTGCTTAGTATTTATGCCCAAATATCAATCAAGGGTCAACCAACTAGAGAGTTGACTGATTGGTCATGGCGTCACGATGGAGGGGGCAAGTTGGCACGGAGGAAATTTTCCGCGTGATAAGATGTAAAAAAAAAACAGACTAAAGCAGCCAAGAAAAAAAAGAGAAAAAGACGCTTTTGGATGACCTGGGCTGGATCACGGAGATGATTCCTTCGAGTGAGCACCCCTTCTGGGGCCGACCAACCGAGGTGTATTTCTCATTAGCTTGGTTATGAATCCTGCTCAGCAAGTAGGCACTCCTTGTACTTGCCCGCTGAAGGCCGACTCTTCCTCTGACATGGGAAAAAATTCTGTTCATTGATTAGGTTCTTCATGGACTAATCTTGCCGGGCGAGCGACTAGACCATGTGGCTACTTGGGCTCAGGGACATGCACACTACACGGTTCAAGTGTTACGGAGTGGATCGGAGTGCGTTAGGACTCTTATCCTACAAACGAAACTTCCCAAAGCAGATGCATCAAGATAAACTCCGAGTGTATGTGAGTTCATCTTTTTCAATTGCGATTCGAAGAAAGCTTTCTTGACGACCGTGCGTGTAGCGGGCAGTGGCGATGATCTGGGCACAAGAGTGATGCTTCATGGATGGCTCGTGTCTCATTTAATCATCCTGAAACCGTACTCGCAATCGAGGCGTTAACAAACATTTGCACCCTCCCGGGGTGCGATGTGACGGGCTGGATTGTTAGGGCAGGTGTTAGTGGTCGAAATGGATGGGTGATCTCGACTGTTTCGAGATTCCTTTTCAGAGGTCTGTTTTTCTTGGATGCTCTTTGTACTCATAATTCATGTGCAGCCAGTCAATCTCCTCTGCATTCATCTTCAATTTTTTTCTTCATTCATCTTCAGTCTTCAAATTGTCTCAAAGTCCAATCCAGACTTACTTTAGCCGATGGGTTGCCGGACGGACTTACTTCCTAATTACACACTTCCTGGATGAGACTGAGTCACTCTTTCACAATTTTTTCCGGTCACAACTGTCGCAAATTCACCGCATTCTGTCCACATTAAGCTCCGACGGCATTACTTTGGTGGAATCAGTTGTCCAAGTATGCTTGGCAACTTTTCAAAGTTCGTCTTTTTTCCAAAATGAGATTGATCTTTTCTTGACAAAAGTCACGGAACGGGAGGATTTCTGGCCGCATAATGCGTTAGATTTGTCAAACTAACGGTCTATGCGAACCTTTCTCTCCCCAAGCAAACACACGTCCAATGCGAGTTGCTCCATGAAAACAGCATGAGGTTACAGCAGTGGGCAGCATAGCTGATCTACGCTAATTCTGATGAACTTGTGTTTAAATCTATTCAAAGCTTGTTGGCATGACATCTGGTAGGTGAACCATCTTGTTGAATGTTATCGGATTCAAGGTGGGAGGCAAGAATTACGAGCTTGAGACAAAGCTAGTCTCAAGACATGATGTGGGTGTAAGAACTAATGCATCCCTTAGGACTTTGATCACAACCCAAGTCATAATTAAAATAAAAAAAAAACATTTGTTTTTACTCAATTTCAATCTTTTGCATTTGTTAAAAAAAATTATCTGTTGATGGTGTCAGTAGTGGAAGACTTCCCGTGGGTTTTACAGGCCTTGTAAAGCTAGATTTACAGGCTGTAAAGCAAATTTTTCGCTGGGAAAATGGTTTCACGAGCTTGTAAAAATAGCTTTACAGGGGGCTGTAAATTCGACGGGAAGTCCTCCAGTTTTGATATGCATTACTATTCTAAATTCCTTCAGGATGGTACCTGAAGTGCATCTATTCAATTGTCTTCAGCATCCTTCATGCTGGATGCCCATCTGAACTCCACCTGATTTTGGATCCATCTACCTTCTCTCATCCAAAAAGCCTCACACCCTCTACTTGAAGCACTGGGGAAACAGCAACACAAAAATAAAATAGAGTGAAATTCAACAAAGTCATTTCTTTTTCACTTAAATATTAGATAATGAAAACCAAGCCTCAACAATCTTAAACACTTAACATGACATTGTGTCTGAAAGATATATATGTATGCCAAATCAGATATCATGAATGGAGTTTTCCTCCTATTAAAGGAAAATCAATCAATAGTCATAAGTCCCCTTCATCAGAGTGTCACAGGGGGTGATGCCCTAGGGAAAAAGAAATCAAATTCACTTGAACCTCATTATCTCAAGCTTTCTTTCTCATTTTTCTCCCTTCTTCTGTTTTTCAAATTCAAGTAGTTAACCTCTAAGTCCATGTTCAGGAACCCAGAACATCCAAAACTTTATACTTTGGGCCAACTCGTATACCCTTTATCACACCCCAGGAAAACACCTGTGTTCATGTGCAGGTGAGGAGAACATTTTGTCCAATTATAAATTATGATCATTTCATTTTTGAAATCCTGTGTGAGCTATATGGCTGGATGTTCTTATTTGGGGGTATTCTAGACCTTTTTGGGTGCCTTATAGCCTAAACAAACTTCAACCCAGCATCCCTGCCAGATGCTCTTTCAGTGGGGGTGATCTCCCAAATTGGTCAAGATTGTCCTTCATAAAATATACTGTGATTGAAACAATTACCTGAGAGCTTGGTTGTTGAATCTTCAAGTTGACATACTTAAATATTTTGAGTTAATTGCTTTGTGGATCTTAGTAGATCCATGGCATAGGCTTGAAGAAAAAAAAATTCTAACAGTTTTAAAAAATAGGAAGAAAGAACCATTTCAAAATAGGGGACAACAACACTGCCAAAAGAGGCCCATTGAATCTTAATTCAGCCATTTCCTGTCCCAGCCAAAAATTTGACCCAATACACAATCCCCCCCAGAAGGAGGGTGTGCTCCATGTGCAAAAAAAACAACCACATGCTATGTAATTTTGACAAGGAGTGCAATTGGTGAATCAAGACTGAAATTCATGACCCCATTTGGGCTTGGGACACAATGGGAAGCAAGCTTAAATAGCACCTGGGAGTAAATTAATCAGTCAAGTTTGAATTGGCTGTAATCTCCTCTAATGGGCTCAAAAAGAGGCTTTTTAACAGTTCCAAAATGAGCTTGTGGGTCTCATTTTCTCAACTGTTACTCTTTCATGGAGTGCAATAGTCCCTGCTAGCTAATTAAGTCCCTGGTGTTTGGAGGGGAAGTACGTTTACACAGGAGCTCTGTGAAAGGTGGGAATTGTACAAAAATTCCAAATCTTGACTCTAGAAAATTAGGTATTGAGCTGAATTAAGTAGAGGAAAATTGCAAAACAGCAGAAATTCCTGACCCCACGGATTCTTTCAATTATCTCTTATCAATACTGACTGCCTATTTTGTCTCCTCCTTCCATGAGGCCTCTATTGGTAATTTGTGCAAAAAAGATGGTGTTTATTGTCAGGTCAAATCCCAATGTTCCTCTGCAAAACAAGATTCCTAGCTATCTCATTCAACCTTTACAATATGTGTAAAGACACTCATTAGAGCTTAAATGAATGGAATCTGAAAGTTGATAGGAAATCAAAAGAATTCGACAGTATGATGAGAAAGAGCCGATTGAAGAAGATTGAAGCACTCATTTTGTGCACCAAACAAAGTTAGGTGCTAGTTGAAGTTGGAAAGAAAGAACTTTTGCAGAAATTGTGGGAAAAAATTAAGGCATGACCCCGACACACGGGGTTCAGGGTTTTGCCCGGATCCAAACCCCGGGGTTCAGGACTCGGGATGAGGTTTTGCAAAACCCCGGAACCCCGGGGTTTGATACATTATAAAGCAAGGTTTTTTTTTTTCAATTTGTGCTGCCTCGATCTTTGTATTACATGATATTTTCAGATTTTTTGAAGTATGAATTTGTATTTTTTTGTGTGAGAATCATGAGAACAGAAAAAAAAATGAATAAGAGAAAGAAACGATATCAAAATGGCCCGTCGAAGGTGAGGAACCAGTCTTTGAGACACAAGAGGCCCTCGATTGTGGTTGGCTTTAAGGAGGATCGCTGCCACAAAACAATGCGACGACCTGTAGAAAAGACTCGCTCCGACGATGCGCTGGTGGCTGGGATGGATAGGAAGCGTCGAGCCATCAATGACAGTTTGGGGAAAGATTTTGGTCGGGATGCCCAATAAGGAAGTGTTTCAACCTCCTCGGTTTCAACATCTTCGTTCAAGTAGTGTCGAATTTCGGCTTGAATCCCTTGGATATTCGGAGCCGGCTGATACAATGCCGAGGTAAAATGGCCTTTGGTGTTCGATCGATTCAACATTGATTCCTCAGGAGGCTTATCCTTCACAAACCTTTCCTCAAAGGCAAGTGCTTCTTTCAACGTCGACATCGATAACCTCGTGGTCCGGAGTCTTCTCCCGCTGTTTACGCTTCATCCTGAGGTAGTGCAAGAGATCTGGAAAGTCGGAGTGGATTCAGATCCTCTAGGAGACGCTGCAACATAAAAAAATGGAAAATAGTGATTGAAACCCCGGGGTTACGGGGTTTGAACCCTGAACCCCGGGGTTCGTCTCTCGGGATGGGCTTCGAACCCCGTCCCGACCCCCGGGACCATGCCTTAGAAAAAATCCCTATTTCTTTGGGGTGGGCAAGGCTTGGGACTTTGAAGCGTGGAAGTAGGGTTCATGCAAACTTACCTAAGTCCCCCCTGGGCCCTTGCCTGAGGCTTCTGCGGAAGGGTTTCTATTCAATTTTTTTAAATGTACATTCAAGTTACAACATGTTGAAAAATATGTATTGGAAGAAGCATGTGATGTAGGAAAAATGAGTCTTGGGGATGGGGCTTGAAAATTGAAAAAGTAACAATAATAGTGGCAAAAAGAGGGCACAAATATCTGGAATTCCTGACAAGTCACAAGTCCCTCCGGCAACAGTCTCAGGCAAGGGGGGACTTGGTCAAGTTGTTCATGGGGGACAGCGGCCCTCCAAAGATGAGGTTAAAGTTCTAAACCATTCCATAGCCCTACTTATGTCGTAGCCTTGGAGGCCCGGTTAGTGCAATACCATCAAGCATCCACAACTATGTATCCACACCCGTTAATATCTCCTATTTGGACATGTATCTGGATCAAGTCCGAGTATCTACCGTAATACCGTCTGCGTCATGTAAGTGGACTGTGGCTATGGGGCGTTCTTGGATGGCTTTGCTTTTATCTTCGGAGGAGGGAGGCTACTGAGCTACTGCCACACTTGAACATACATCAGTACAGACCACTTTCTGCTCTTTTGCGTGTCATATAAGAGACTTGCTCTGGAGCAGGAGTAAGTAGAGGTCCACCCTCAACAAACACTTCGACACACTCACACACACCAGACTCCAAAGATTCGAATCCTAGATCGCTTTTCGTAATAGCCACAAACATGAACATGTTTTCCGGCTCCTTTGTTATCCTCAGTCTGCTCAGTCTATCCCATGCTGATGGAGGAAGAGAAGTGATAAGCAGTGGCCCAGGTATCGCGTACCCAACGAGCTACACTCGGGCAGGGCCTAATGATCCATTTAGTGAGCCACAACGGCCCTATAGTCTTTACGGAAAGCAATAAATACTGACAAATTGATTAACATAGCTGTCAATGGCAGCCAACAATGTCAACACTGCGGAATTTACGGTACGTGAAGAATTCGACAGTCTCGTTTTTACCTCATCTATATCTGCACACTCACAAATCATCTCACTCACTCGACACTATGTACAGTCGCAAAGAATTGTCACAATTTCAATACGCCGAATGATCCCCCTACTGATCAATCTTGCGATCTTGCGTTCTTACCACACATGAATCATCCGCAAGAGTCCAGTAAGTCAACGATTTCTTGAGCCCAATCGCACTGTCTTGCCCACAGGATGTCTGATTAGCTGACCTCAATTAACGTTTATCTACGAACCAATCATAGCATGCAAGAATAATAAGGGAAGCTTCAATTGCTATTCTGGGCGCGATAGCAGAGCCGGTAGTAAGCTAGCCACTCTTTTTTATATCACACTCCTGACCCAAGATGCAGGTACTAATTGGAAAACTGGATTTCTAGAGGGTGGTTGCACAGATTGTGTGATCGCCTGATTGACATAGCAAAGAATTCATCTATGTTTTAAATGAATGCATACAAAACATGTGAATCTCTATGATTCCAGCCTGGTGTCTTGGAGAAGCAGTCAAACTGGGAATGCATTGAAAGTTTGATAGTGCTTGATCAAAAAATGAATTCTGAGTTCTATTGATCCAGTTTTCATCCCATTTTGTAACAACTTCTTTTGAGCATTGTACACACAATGATGGATGGATTAAGACAGTGATTTTCCCATGAAAGGGGCACCTCACTTGGATTTCAGAAAGAAAGTGGAGTAACTTGTGTCTTATTATTGGTTTTATCTAACCGGGTGATTTTCTGCTGGGAGCCTCTGAAAAAGTCAAATGGTCAATGAACCAATACTAGCTCTAGTTGATGAGCATTCAGGAATATTAGGACCCTAGAAATCCCCCTACCAACATTGAAAAAATGTATGAGAAATGGAAAAAATTCAAAGAATACCCCTCTAACTCATGAAGCATATATCAGTTGGTGAATCTGACCCAACATTACTCTGGAACTAGCCAGTAAGACTTTCCAAGGCAATCTTTGCTTGAGCATACTCACAAAACAGAATTGGTTTATCCCATAAATTTGTTTATCATTATAATAACAATTAAATATCAGATTGGGATCAGCAAGATCTACTTCCTTTCAGATGAACATGAGAAATTTCCAGTATCCATGAACAATGAACAATAAAAATATCCAACAAATAAGGGGAACACAAAAAAGAAAATTTTCTTGCTGATGCTTGAAACAAAATAGTGAATAACTGATAATAAGCTATATAAAGATAGCATATGACACCCAGGTACTTGTGGTGGGTGTGGTTACCCCCCTCAATTTTCACTAATACCTGACAACAAAGTACTTCTGTGAGGTACAGTACAGAGGGGGCAGAGTGGGTACTCCCCTGCCAATGTGCTCTTCACATATCATATTCATATTCATATTCATTTCAGGTCAAGTCAAGCAATTTACAAACTTGATTTGATTTCTTGAGTCTTCCTAGTCACTCTATTCATTCATCTTACCATTCACTATTGCTGATCCTTTTCCTTTCCTTTTTTTACTTTGTTCTTGCTACCATTGGTGCAAAACACCTTTTTCAATCTTACGGTTTTGTGAATTCAACACCACAGATATAGTGCTGAGTTGGTGCTTTCCAGCTGACACATAATCACTGCCAAAGCTGAAAAATTCTTCATTGTCTTCAGTTGTTGCTGTTGTAGATCATGATACCAGTTACTTGTTTAATATCAAGCTACAAGTGAAAATAGAAGGTTCAAAATCTCACCTCGACCGCGAGAAGCTCAACTTGTGGATTTTCAAGGTCCACAAATGTGGGAAGAAGTGTTCAGTGTTGAGGACCGGTGGAACACATTGGTGAGAGGAGCTGGATCAGGGTTTCCATTCTACCTCATAACCTAGCTGTGCCGCTTGTTGTATCTACAAAGTCTATGTAAAGCTTGTGGCGAGGCCGAGGTCCTCTCTTCTTCTTCATCGGCATGAGGACGCCCATCAGTATGAATGTGCTATGTGGATGACACCACCTTCGTCATGTAAGTGGAAATGAGGCTTTCTTAAAAGGGCTGCTTTGTTCTTCCGGCGGATTTTACTGACACGCCGTGACACGCAACAGTATACATAGACCACTTTCTTCTCTTTTCTGCTCTTCTACGCTTGTATTTAAGAGACAACCTTTGGACCAGGAAATGTTTAGCCTCAACACACACTTCCACACAATCACACACATCAGACTCTGAAGAATTGAATCCTACAATATCTTACATAACAGCTACAAAAATGAAAGCGTTTTGTAGCACCTTTATTATACTCAGTCTGCTCAGTCGATCCCATGCTGATGGAGGAAAAGAAGAATTCGGCGGTTTAGAGCCCGCATACCCAAGGAGTTACGTTCGGACGGCGATTGGGTTTCCATTTAGTGAGCCACAACTGTCTTACTGTAGTAATTTGCGGAAAGCAACCAATGCTGATAAGTCGATCATCATAGCCATCAATGGCAACCAACAGTGCAAAACTTGCGAAATTTTCGGTGCGTGGAGATTTTGATAGTCTCGCTTTTGCCTTATCAATCATTGGACACTCACAAAACATGTCATACAATCGCCACTGTGTACAGTCGCCCAAGGTTGTCACAGTTTCAAGACACCAAATGATAGACCTACCAATCAACCTTGCGATCTTGCGTTCGTGCCAATAGAACATCGTGACGGAGAGTCAAGTAAGTCGAAGCTTTCTCAACCCCAATTGCACTATCTTGCTTCGGGATGTCTGATTGTCCAATGCCTTGACCTTAATTAACTGGCATCTGAATCATAGCATGCAAGACTACGAAGGGAGCCTTCCATTGCTATTCTGGGCGCGATAAGACAATCGGTAGTAAGCCATCCATTCTTATTTCACACTTCTGACTAGAGAGTCAGAGACTAATTGGACAAATGGATTTCTAGATGGTGGTTGTTATGACTGCGCTAGCCCTCACTAAAGCAAGTAACTGCCCCGTGATTGAAATAAATCCATGCAAACAATGTGAATCTCCAAAATTGTGATTCCAGGCTTATTTTTTTTTTTTTTTGGAACAGTAGAATCTGGACTGCATTGGTAGCTTGATAGTACCTGATCAAAAATTGAAGCATGAATTCTAATACCACAATCCCAGTATTGATGCCACTTTGTTACAATCTGTTGTGAGAATACACAAACTGATATATGAATTGAGACAAAAATTCTCCCATCAGAGCCATTGCTTGACTGAAGATGTGAGCCGGACTTCCACTATCAACCACTGAGAGGAATCCCTTCAAACTGTACCCTCTCAATGGCTGGGAGGGCTTTTCCTGGTTGTTGAGATGATACACTCTCAGTGACCAAGAGTGTACACTCTCAGCAGCCAAGAGGGTACACTCTCAATGGCCAAGGGGAATTCCTCTTGGCCATTGACCTTCTCAACAGCCAAGAGGAATTCCTCTTGGCCATTGAGAAACAAGAGTGCCTTCTCAGCAGCCCAGAGGGATTCCTCTTGGTCATTGAGAGGCTGGACTCTTGATGACCAAGAGGAAATTCTCCTGGCCTTCAAGAGTATACCCACTCTGTCAGAAACTGAGACACTAGTCCATGTGTCTACATGAGATTGTAACCCCTCCAGGTTACATGATTATTATTATTTTAGTTATTCTTTAAATCAATATCCATTTGCCTCTCTCTGATGAACATAATAAACATGTGAGAAAGGCTAATTATCTCTCTTGTGTTTGTTTATCAAGGATAGATTACTCACTTGTGTTTCTCCATGTGTTTATCTTATACTTCACACTTGTGTACACTACAGGGGCACCTTTAAAGTTTGGCTTTGAAATCATTTCAAAATCTGTGGACTTCAAAATCTTTACCAAACTTGAGCAGAAAACTTTGAAATCTTTTTGAAATGCCTACAAAACTGCTTTGAAAGCCTCTTTATGAGGTTTCTATCTGACAAAAATCCGGTTTCTATGCAAGTTATGTTGGATTAAAATTTTAAATTGACAATTTTGAAACCCTTTTGCAACAGCTTTGAAACTTCCGCCAAAACTTGGTGATGGATTGGAAGTTTTACCAAAGTTTGGTCAAGCTTGTGAGCCAATCACCAAAGATCTACCCAGCTGCAGAAGCAAGCTTGAACTCTGTTCAAGTTCCTCTTGACATCCTGCCACAAAGGTCAAATCTCAAGCCCCCTCAATGTACCCTGCCAATGCTGAGAAAGTTGTTGGCGCTATAGATGCTGGTGCCATTAAATCTGCCATTGCAGCCAAGACACCTGCCATTACAATCATTGATGAGGTGGTTCATATTGCCAGCAAAAAACCTGCCATCCCTGCCAAGGAAACTGCTGTATGTAGCTACCAACAAACCTGCCATAACCACCGTTGATGTTGCTGGAGGGGGAGTAGTTCAGCTTCATGTGAAGTACAGTAGCTAGACAGTGAAAAATGTCTGCTTATTTTGGATTCCAGAGCTCCAAAACACAAATTTGATATCATTAGGCTTGGTCAGGTGATGCATAATTCAGGTGGCAAGTGAGGCCGGGTCAACCCGGGGCCGACCCAAGACCCGAGGGGTTATGAGGCGGGTTCGGGCAGGAGTTTGGGAAATGTTGACCTGACCCGGACCGACCCGGCTTGTTCTCAGGTCGGGTTCGGGCAGGTGCTGCAGACTTTGGGTCAGCCTCGGGTAGACCCGAAAACCCGACTAGGTAGCAGGGGGCCAAGAGTTAGGACGCAGGGCAGAGTCCAGATTGGAGACAACTATCCTCCTGAGTCCTGACCCCATTCCTTGCACCAACCACGACTCCAATTATCAACTATGGCCAACACAAGTTCAAAATCCAAGCGCAAACGGCCAAAAACTGTCCCAGATTCCGACGAGACCTCATCTGCGACCTCAAGCAACAAAGCGGAAGTTGTAGTTGACCACACCAAAACCAATAGCTCTAGTACTCCGAGTCAGCCGGAAATCTCAGCCAGCCAGACTACGGTAGCAGCATCCCAGAATGTTGATAAATCTAATTTGATAGATTCAGCGACCTCAAGTACCGAACGCCAGCAACGTAGCAATGTCTGGAACCATTTCACAAAAAGTGGCACCGGTGAGTTGATTTTTTATGATCTCAATCTCTTCTTGGTGCAACATTTAAAGATCTTAGGCTGATTAAGATTTGCATCTTTATATTCTCAGGTGAGGGCACAAAGGCCACATGCAAGCATTGTAAGAGGATCTTGAACGGCCAGAGCTCGCAAGGAACGAAGTCCCTCTGGCGACACATTGATCGTTGCAAGGAATATGCATCAAAATCAAAGCAATCATTGCTCAAGTTTGGAGGACCAAACAGCGCCTTATCGAACTGGGTTTTTTCTCAGCAGACCTCTCGCGAGCTTTTGGTCAAGATGGTTATTGCCCACAAACTCCCTTTCCGATTTGCCGATTATCCAATCTTCCGTGCATTTGTAGCCTCACTTCAACCCAAATTCAAACCCTTCTCACGTACTACCCTGAAGTCTGACATCATGGCTACATTCAAGCTGGCCAACAAGCTAGCTAGTGTTGATCGGGTCTCACTTACTACAGATCTCTGGACTTCTTCCAATCAGTCTCCTTTCATGGTTGTATCGGCCCACTACATAACCTCCGACTGGAAACTCAAAAAGCGGCTCATATCGTTTAAAGAACTTCCAACTCCTCACACTGGAAAGGCCATCGGCGAACAACTAATTGCGACAATTGTTGAATGGAAGCTAGTCGACAAGATCTCATTTATCACAGTCGATAATGCTTCATCCAACGATCTTGCGATTGATAGAGTGCGTTCAGTCCTCAAAGAACAAAGTCAGTCCCCTCCCGTGCTCAATGGAGATTTTTTCCATGTTCGGTGTGCGGCACATATCATCAATCTTGTTGTCAAGGATGGACTCAAGGGGGTTACTCAATCAATCGTCAAGATTTGTGATAGTGTCCGTTACTCAAAAAGCTCACCCTTGCGCAAGCAGGAGTTCAAGGACGCAATCAGATCATCCCACATGAAGAAGCAGGCGTTACCTTCGGTCGATGTTCCTACTCGATGGAACTCCACCAATCAAATGCTCAAGTCAGCATTGCCCTACAAAGATGCCTTCACCAACATGGCCATGCAAGATGCTAATTACACCACCTGCCCAACATCAGAAGAGTGGGATGAAATATTCACCATGCAAGAATTTCTTTCGGTTTTCCACAAAGGTAAGACATTTTTCAATTGAAACCTAATTATCTGTTTTTTTCGTTACCTAAAATCCTCTATTTTTTATTCTAGCAACGCTAAAACTGGGTATGACCCAATATCCAACGGTGTACTCAATTTATAAGTACATGAAGCTCATTGATAAACAACTCAAAGATGTTGTCAAAGCTGGACCACCTCACATCGCCAGTATAATTAAGCCGATGCAGGATAAGTACGACAAGTACTGGACTAAAATGGAGGATTTTGCAGAAATCACTGCCGTCTTTGACCCCCGATGCAAATTGGCCCTCATCGAGTTCATGTTGCTCAAGGAGACTACCCCCGAAGCCGCCGAGGAAAATTTAAATCGAATCAAAAAGAATCTTGCCGCCTTCTTCTCCGATTTTGTCTGTGTATTTCCCACCAATCGCCACAAATCCAACGAGTCAATTAAAAAAAAAAACAGTACAAACAGTTGAAACTAGCGACAATGACTTCAACAAGTTCCTTGCCTCTGAGAACGCCAACCAAACTGTCACCACTACTGGTGAGCTGGACTTATATCTTCAACAGAAAGCTGTCGGTATTGGATCAGACGGTTTTGACATCCTCAAGTGGTGGGAAGTACATGAAGAAAGATTCCCAACACTTGCCAAGCTGGCAAGGATGGTGCTTATGGTTCCAGCAACATCAATTGCTTCTGAATCAGCCTTCTCAACTAGCGGACGGGTTCTTGGTGATTTCCGAAGCCAAATGTCTCCGATAACACTTGAGGCCCTCGTATGTGGACAGGACTGGATTCGTACCGAGGAAGGCCTGCAAAAGTGGGACGAAGACGAGGAGGAAGAGGATGCAAATGATATTGAAGTTGTGGAATGAATATGTTTTTTTTCATTTTTTTCTTGCATCTCTCTGCTAAAGCCTAAAACTACATACACGAGTACATACACAAGTTTGACTGAGTAAGATAAAGTAGCGATGAAACCAACTTGAGGGTTGGCTCTGCAATTACACAATCAAACTTTATTTGTGATTAGTGTAGTTGTCAAGGGGCCAGTTTGGTGCCTGGCAAGATGTCAAGGGGCCAGTTTGGTGCCTGGCATCGCTGCATCATGTCCCTCCTGCGTTCAAATCCCCTTGATGTCTAATTGTCAAATAAAAAAGACACCCTGCCGGGTCGACCCGGTGCAACCCAGACCCGATTCAGTTTCAACAGAGTCGGGTTTGGGCAGCATTTTTTACAATGCAACCCGACCCGCCCCGACCCACATTGCTTACTGGGTCGGGTTTGGGCACTGTTTTTTGACCCGAACCCGACCCGTTTGCCACCTGATGCATAATAGGTCTCAAAAGATGAATCTGAAAAAATAAAAACAAAAAATCAAGTTTCAAAATTTGTGAAAAATAAAAAATAAAATTTATTTTTTTCAAAAGCTTTGATATTCATTTTTGGGGAGTGGGAGTGCTGAGAGAAAGGAAGATTGGGACATGGGAAGAATGATTATAAATGAAAAAAATTTGAACCAAAAAAGGTTCAGCCAGGTTGGTTGTCCAGATTGGAGCCAAAACAGCAAATTCTAGTGCTTTACTGCAATGTGGACTGGTGAATGCCCCAATCAACAGCTGTTTGAAGCCATCTGGTAACCATTTTTCCCAAAATTTCATTTATAATCATTCTTCTAATTTTCAAATCATTCTTTCTCTCAGCACTCCCACTCCCCCAAAATGAATATCAATGCTATTGAAAAAAATCAAGTTTATTTTTTATTTTTCACACATTTTGAAACTTGATTTTTTGTTTTTATTTTGTCATATTCATTTTCTGGGACCTATTATGCACCACCTGACTAAGTCTCATGACTTCAAGTATGTGTTTCAGAGCTCTGGAATCCAAAATAAGCAGGCATTTTTCACTGTCTAGCTACCAAGTTCAGCCATTCCCCACCATGTTGACAATGAAGGTGCGCAGGCACTTGCCAAGAACCCCCAAACAAAATGCAAGAACCAAGCATATTCATGCATGTTATCACTTTATCCAGCAATTCCTTCAACTAGATGAAATCAGTCTTCTGCATGTCTCCACAAAGGATACGCTTGCAGGTAGGCCCACCAAGCTGCTCAACAGAGTCCCACTGGAAAAACACTGTCTAGTGTTTGGCATAGCTATCTAGCCCAGTCTGAACTTCCATCAGGACATCTCCTCCTTTTGTTTTTGTTTTTGTTTCTTTTCACTTTGTTTTTTCACCTCATGAACCTCTCTTCTTCTCCTTTTCTTTTTTTCTGAATTTTTCCTCTTTTCCTCTTCATTTGTTTTCTGCTCATGTTTTCTTCTCCGGTCTGGGGGTTGTTGGATTTCACAGCAATGTTTTGTATGCTACATTCCTTCATGTCAAATTTCACACTAGTTTTACATGTTGTGTAGCATAATTGGGTCAGCAGCTCACTGGTAGAAGGCCTCTTTTCTCATCCTTCCACATCATTCACTGCCCCCCCCCCCCCCAGTTTATCTCATCATGTATAATCAGCACCAATTGGATATGAAATATCCATGCAAATTAAAGCATGCTGGTTAAGTCAGTCTATGAACACTTATGGGTCACTGACACACTGCCATTCCCAGAGACAACTATGTTCAACCAGGCTGTGAAGGACAAGTGTTTGTAAGACTGTAAAACAATTCCCAAATATATTGACCATGTGCTCTCACCAGAGAGCTTGATTTAATTGAACATACTCTAACTTTCAGTGACAAATTTCGATTTGATTGGGGTCTTTCATTCCCTCTTGGTCATGGATCAGACCAACCAATAAGGACACACAAGTGAGGATACACAAACCAATTTCATCACCACCATCATCAAACAAAAAAGACAACAAAAAAACAAACAGGATCAAGAAAGAGTAAAAAAAGGCTTCAAAAAAGTGAGGGAGGTGTTATTGAAATACACAAATTGGATGATGGAATGGAATCAACAACAACAACAAACCAAATAATCATAAAGAATAAAGAATAACCAACCAACCAACCAACTGAAGAAATCAAATCAAATGTATATGTATATGTGTAGATGTGAGGATGTGAGGATGTAAAGATGTCAAGGATAGGATTGAGAAAAGGCGGATCAAAGAGATATATATGTGAGAAAAGAGATATTATGTGAGAAAAGAGATATGTAGAGTAACGGGAAGGGGGATGACAAATTGATCTCAAAACCAAAAAAAGATTTATTTATTTTTTTCATGTTAATAATTTTAATGATTTGATTCAGTTTTTGGGTTTTTTTGATTGTTGAGAAGAAGATTTTTTTATTATAATATACTGATTGAGTGATTAAAAAGAGTCAGAATCGGAATCAGACAGAGGATCATCACCATTATTGCCATGATCATCGTCGTCTTGATCATCATCATCATCGCTATTGAAGTGATGATCGGATGATGATAAAAGGCTAGACCTAGCACTCTGATTGTCATCATCATCATCATCATCCGATTTTCCGGGGTCTGTGCTGCTCTGGGAGACGTGATCATCGGACCGGGTTTCGGAGAGATCGCTGCTGATTTCGGGGGTCGAAACGGAACGATGAATAGAGGTATCGTTTTCAGAAGAAGCAGTGCTGATGGTAGATGAGCGATGGACAGGGGTTCCGTGTTCGGAAGCAGTGCTAGAATATCCTTCATCCGAGGAGATGACCCGACCGTGTGCGATGGCGATGCCAGTGCGATAGGTAGAGCGACGAGGCGGAGCTGAAAAATGTTCTTCGTCGGTCGAACCTGTCATCGACCGATCATCATCATCATCATCGTTGTTGTTGTTGTTTGAGGGGGAGTAGTGGGGTCGGTCTGAGCGAGGGGAGGATGAGAAGATCTCATTGATCGAAGACGGTCGACGCGGCTGCTCCTCGGCCACCCGTCGACGCGCCGCCGCACTCGGTTGGGCCTCCACATCACTATCACTCTCCGGAAACACATGTCGTCGTCGTCGGACTACTTGGACGTCCGAGCTATCATCATCACTATCTCCTCTCCCGCTCACCAGTCGTGCCATCGAAGCCCCATCGTCGGACCCCGAATCCACCGGGAGAACCCGGCCCATGGGTCGACTCCAGAAATACGCCGCTTGGTTCTCCATCTCTTCATCTTCCTCTTCGTCTCGTTCTTCTTCGCTTTCGTAGTTTGTTCCCATGTCTTCACTATCGATAGGCGCCTGGAAGCTTTCATCATCTGAGTCATCCGTGTCTAATGAAGCGTACCTTGCCCCGCTTTTGGGTCGATTCGTATAATCATAAACAAAACAGACAAACATTAGATCTTAGGCTCATGTCTTAAATGATGATTCTCGAGTACTTACCATCCTTCACAAATGCCGCTGTTGCCTATTTCCCAAGCACATCGACCACAACGCCTGACTCCGTCTTCGAGATCGACGACGACGTGACGACCCTCATCCGGGTCGCGTCTGACGTTAGAAAGATGGTGATCCTGATTGTTATTCGCTTCAAAGAGGTGTCCCCAGGTGAGATCTCTTTCGTCCCGATGTTGTTCAACTAAGTTCCTGAACGAGCCCGTTGGACACGAGGATGACGGAACAGGCGTGCCGGTCGTCTTGAGTTTATCTGCAGCTTCCTTGACTGCATATAGTGGCATCGGTCGTCGGAGCACTGCCGCTCTGCATTGAGGGCAGATCAAGTTTCTCCTCCGTCTCTGAAGAGAGACCGGTCGTAAGGTTGTTCGATGGGCATTTCGTCCGGGGTCAGCCTCATTCATCAAGCCGGCCAGATTGGCCTGTTGGGGAATATTAGCACCATTTGCCGCTCCTCGGTCTGTTCAAATAGCACGCAGGCAGTAAGAGAATTGATCAAGAGAAAGATGGTGTTCAGTTCAAAACCTACTTGAAGGCCCGGGTCGATTCATTTCGAATCCATTGAATTCTGAGTCACTCGACACATGAGCGACCACTCTTACTTCTTGGAGATGATGGCCGAATCGGATTGCAGAATCACTATCACTATCATCATCATCATCATCATCTTCCGTGTCGTGTGAATCAGAGTCATATCGATCAGAAGCGGGATTAGTCCTGTGAAACCAAGCATATAAATCCTTGTGGCAAAAGATATGTCTGCGCATCAAGTCCGATTAAACACCTGTTAGTTTAAAGTTTGACATTGTTATTTTTTTGACGTGTTCCATTTTTACGTACCCGCAAAGAAGAGCGTATGGCGAGTCAAGAACTTCAAGACAGATGTTACACGAGAGACTGGATTTGATAGAATCGATTAGGTTTGTTTGATTCTCGACGACCTGCATATCAATTCTCAAGTAAACAACCACGTTCAAGAAATGATAAAACAAAAGCACGTACGTCTTTATAGGTCGATACGGTTTTATTGATGTTTTCGATCTGGTCTTTCAAGTTCTTGATCTGTTGGTGGAGATCTGAAGAAGCAGTGGGGTGGATTGGATGGTTATCGAGACTGGTAGGTTGACTGGGATTGTTATCTTGAGTGTTGGTGGGGTTGATGGTCTGACTCGAGGAAGAGGATGACTGAGGTGAGGATGAGGCAGAGGCAGGGGTGTTAGTCGAGTTGGTGATATTGGTGGTTGTTATTGTTTTCTGATTGGGTTCGAGTTTCTTGATCCGAGCCAGTGCAGCCTGAGCCATCCTTTGATTATGCTGTGGGCGACTGTTGTTCATGGTGGTGGTGGTGTTGTTGTTGTTGTGGTTGTTGTTCTTGACTCGTTTGCTGACTTGCTTCTGTTGAGTCTCAGTCTCCTCTGATTCGGCTGACCGTTGTCTTCGTTTCTCGGCCATCCAGAAGGCCTTCTTCTTCTGTTGGGTGACTTCCCTATCCCTTTGTTGCTTCTGTTACTGGTGTTTATGAGTCAGTTCTTTTAACTTTTTGAGTTTCGATAGCTTGAAGTTTGAAGTGGTCGAGTGCCAGAGTTCTCGTCCCCCTTGCCCTGCCAGCCAGTCTCGTCCCTTTTTCCCCTTCTTGACCATCCTCCGGGGGTTTCATACTCGAACGGGGGGTAAGGGGGCTGGACTGATCCAGTGAGCAACCTTGTTCATTCTTGTTCACTCCGACTGGGAACCAAACACAAAAGGAGACTTCAGAGTTACTTTAGCGGCATTAAGGTGCGCTGTGCTACACTATCGCTACTGATTGCGTAGCGGGCCTACATACATGCCGTTGTCAGGAAGGTGCCTGTTGCAGTTTGGCAAGGAAGAAACCTCCCCAGAGAACTGCTTTTGGCATCCTGGCAAGGAGGAAAACTCGCCAGCAAACTGCTTTAAGCAAGTGTGTGTGGTTATCTGTGACTCTTGAAACGAGGAGAGCTTCCTCCAAGCCAATCAGGAGACTGTATTCCCTCGTAATTGACTGGGAAGAATGATCGCTCCCGGCCAACGAGCTCATGCGACCTCCTTGATTGGGAAGACCCCTCCCAGCAAACAGTTCTGCTCAAGAGTTGCACTAACATAGGGCTTGTTTGAAGGGTCTTGGGCGTGGACACACTTCCCTTGTGGGCGCGCGCATTTATGAAGCCCCGGATGTTATGAGCATTAGTTGAAAGTTACTGGGATCATGAAAGTGTTACACGTTGTAAAAGGCTAATGCAATCCATCCACCGAAACCACATCGATTATCAGTTCTGTAGTGAGGGGTATATTGAGATCAACAGTGGAATTTGCAGGGAAAGCGAAGTCGGTTTTTGAATCTTGCCCATTGGGATTTTTGAAGTGGGCAGTGATGAGGACCTCACAGTCCATCGGATTGAAAACGGTCCAGGTGTGAGCATCCCCAGCATCAAATTTGATATAATGGTTTTCCCAGATGAATAGAGTCTTGGCTCGGGGGATATGAAGCGCATTGCCAGGTTGGGCTTCATAGGGGGGCAGTACCCATTGTTTCGGCCAAGAAACCGCCGCCACCTTGGCGCTTCGTTCGACCATGCCGTTGACGAGTAAGGCGTTGAGCATAATCAGGAAGATCCATGGAGTCGAAGCATTCATCTCTAGGGAATTGAGCAAGAGGTTAACTTGAAAGCGAAGGTTTAATATACAGCACCAAAAATAAATTAAAAAAAACTTACTCTTGGACAATAAGGCTGATGAATTTATACGAAACAGATGGCGCCAACGGTGATTATGAGAAAAGAAGGAGAAATAAGAAGCGCACAAGGAGGGAGAAAGCAGTCTATGAATTGCTTGTGATTTGTAGACTTGTTGGAGTGTGATCTATGTAATCACCGATCGGAGCCCTTGTGTGTCTTATCCACTGGTCTACAACCAGCTGACACAGCCTCATCATCTGTACTCTTTAGTGTGATCTATGTAGTGTGATACAAAAATATAACTATTTGAGTAAATACGTACTCCAAAATTTAAGGGACACCCTAGCATCTTTGTAACGTTCGGAATTTTGTTTTACTGATAAGGGTATGGGATCTAGACACAATCAGACAAAAGGTATTACAATGGCGGTCAATCGGTGGGCGACGGATTCTCAGTCATGAGCGACGGCCAGATCACCCGTTGGCCATCCGCAAACCGTCTGCCTGCATCATCATGTTCAGAAATCGGGTAGCTTTGTTACCCCCAGAAGTCACGCCGCCGCGCGCCTGACTGAACGAAGCACAGCGGGGTACCTACAAATAAGCCGTGATCTGACGGTTGGAAGCGCGTCGACCGGACTTGTGAAGCAAGAGGGGTCGATACTAGCATCACAAGGTCTCTGGAGTTGAGGGCCCCGAAATAGCGGTCCAATGTGGTGCTCAAGGCGGGCTTGATCACTCTCTTCACATGATTATTGGGCAAACCTATTAGCTATCGATCAAGCCGAGCCGTGACATTTGTCGGGGCATCAAGCCTAAAAGGGTGCCCAGTAAGCTTGAATGCTTTCCCGATTGCAATCTTTCGAGAAGATGCATAGGAACGCAAGTGGGAAAGGAGAGATTGCGGCAATTGTAAATCGGCCTCTGCTGCTCGTTGGAGGTGATCGCTACACCGCGTCTCTTGGACCTTGAGATACATACGCGATGTAATCAATGGTTTCGGCAGTCTACGTGGATCCAGGATTTCTTGCTACACTTCTTTTACAAAAGAAAAAACTAAAACAGCTTGATCAGGTCTTCTTTTGCAGTTCGGAAGGGTAGGATCAGGACAACCGGACCGTCTTGCACACGAAGACAGAAAAGCTTATAACCGGTATTTGAAACAACACGTGAGATAATCTCACAAAGGTGGACTCCTCCCTTGTTACCGCAAATGTGGGGACAAAAGAAACTTTCCCAGCAGATGGTAATGAGCACTAATATTGAATACCAAAGTCTGGTACCAGTGTCAGCTTTTGAGGAATGGGGAGCTTGGCTTATGGGTGCATTAAATTGAGTCACAGTTTATTCAGACCACTGAGATTTACTTTATTTTAAAAATGGCTAAATATTCTTCTCCAAAGCTAGCTTGATGGGCTTGCCATCTGGATAATCTTAACATGCTAACTCACCATATAGCAGGAAGTGGGAACCCAGGACTCTAGCCAAAGGGAGAAGATTATGTTGTGGGGAGAATTCTGGGACCAGATTCCTTGTCTCTCAGTGAGAAGATGGTAGATTTGAAAGAGATAGCACTTTGTTCAATTGTGGTATTCTTGTGGGAGTTAAATAGATGTATTATGATATGGGAGAAATATTTGATTGGAAGAAGGCAAAGCCAATACTGGAGGTATGAACTTTCTTAAAAAGGGCAAGTTTGAATGTTTAGTGTCGTGCTTGGATTCAACCGTAGCTGAGAGTGGCACTGGCAGAAGACCACATTGAAAAAAGCAAATAATTATCTAGAAGCTTGTAGGAATGAACAGGAGAAGAACCAGACGGGTTTATAAAACCATGAAGAGATTTTGGGGAAACAGGTAAGTCTATTTTGTAAGGTTTAATAAGTTTTTAGAAATTATTCATATATACTTACGTTTATCTCATTTAATATAATGATGAAATGATAAGTATTTCATTATCATTTTTCTTATTTTATTTCATTTATGTAGAGACAATCAAGTGATGTCATTATCTTGCAAATCTTATTGTCATGTGAATGGCCTTTACTTGTTGTATCTTCTTATATGGTTTGTAGCTGACAATTTATGATCCCCCTTCTTTCTTTTCCTTGTTGAGATATTCCTTATTTGTTAGGCCCCAATTATAAACAGTATTTTGAAAATGTTTTGAAAATGTTTTGAGCTACGTTTGAAGTTCAAAGTTGGCTATGATTTTGAACTTTTTTTTGCTTCAAAAGCGCTTCAAAAGTCCTCACGGAGGACTTTCGAGCAATCAAAAAAATTATTTCTTCGATAACAAAACTTTTGAAAGAGAACGGTTGAAAACTGTTTGATCGTTACCTAGCTGCTACCCATGCCCCAGATGGTCAAGACCAACGGCAACTTGAGGCTTCCACAGTCGGAGGTTTGCCGCGCCCCAAGTGGGTCTTGCTGTAGATCGTCCCGTTGAAGTTGGCCAGAGACATACGGAAGAGCTCGACAAACCTGGCCGCAGGTATTCGTTTGTCTTTCCATGGTTCCCAGTGATCCGAACAATTGAACACCTCACAGAGAGCTACTCCTTGGAGAAGAGACTCGTCGTCGTCGTGATCGACGGGTAGCATTTGGTGTTGAGCTTCGGAATAATTCTCTTGTCAAGGAGTGGACTCTCCCCTTGCGCGGACTCAATACAAGCGATGCAAATTTTTTCATTAACACAATTGTCCGACTGGGTTTATAACTACTCCCAGCTTTTGAAAATATTTTGAACAGTATTTGAAATACAAAAAGCTTTATTTTAAGTTCAAAAAAAACATTTCAAAAGTGTTTCAAAACATTTTCAAAACATTTTTAAAATATTGTTTATAAATGGGGCCTTATCATCATTATCTTAGGAAATCATTATCATTGAAAGTATTGAAAAATCAACGTAAATTTGTTTGGTTGACAGGTAGCAAAGATTTATTAACAGTTCTACCCAACAGTTGCAGGCCTTGTTTAGGTCTTGGGTGTGGACACAGTATATCACGTCCCTTGTAGAGGCTTGCATTGATCAATCCTTGATGGTTATGAGCATGCATAGTTGGAAGTTGCTTGGATCATGAATGTGTAGATATTGTAGAAGACTATACGCCACCCACGGAAACAACATCGATTATCAGCTCTGTAGTGTAGGGTATGTGGAGATGATTGTTGACTTTGCTTGCGAGAATGAAGTCGGTTTTTGATTGATGTCCATCGGGGTTTTTGAAGTGGGCAGTGATGAGGACCTCACAGTCCATGTCATTGAACACGAGCCAGTTGGAATCCTGATGAGGATAAAACCGAATGAGCTGATCTTTCCAGATATATAGAGCCGTTGCTCGGCGTGTAAAAAAATCACCCTCGCCCGGAGGCGGGCCTAGAAAAGCGGGTAGGACCCATTGTTTCGGCCAAGATACGGCTACCACCTTGGCGCTACGCTCGACCATACCGTTTACGAGTAGTGCGGTGAGCATGAACAGGAAGATCCATGTAGTCGAAGCTTTCATCTCTAACAACCACTCTTAACATACATACAATCAACAGTGCTCAACGCGAATTGAGCAAGATGTTCACTTGAAAGCGAAGGTTTATACACTCCCAAAATCAAAAACTTACTGTTTAGAACTGCTTATGAAGTAAGAGAAAGCTGGCGCCAATAGTGATTATCAGAAAATAGGGAGAGGAAAAGGACCACAAAAGGAAGGAGAAAGCAGTTTATGAATAGCTCCAGACTGACTCGTTGGAGTCTGATCCAACGGTGCAAACACATCACCGACACATAGGAGCCCCTACGCAATGGTCTAACCAGATGACACAGCCGCATCATCTGTACTCTTTTTAGTGTGATCTAGTGTGACACAAAAATGGATCTACCCAAAAATTGAAGGGAAACCCTAGCATCATTGTAACGTTCCGAATCGTGTTTTGCTGATAAGGGCATGGGATCTATCGCCAATCGGATCCTGGCTGAAGAGGCCACCACAACGAGGGCAAAAGGTACTGCATTGCAGTCTGCCAGCTTGGATGGCGTATTAATCGGCGGGCGGCGGGATGGACAGCCATGAGACGGTGCGACGCAAACCGTCTGCCATGTCCGGAGGTCGAGAGGCTTTGATATGTACCCCCAGGGAGGGGCCGGAACTTCACGCCGCCACGTGCATGGCTATCCGAAGCATGGCGGGGGAACCGTGAGTTGACGGCTGGAAGCGCCGCGACCTGGCTCGGTCAGGTTGACCTACAATGGTACATCGGGTTGTGTGAGCCCGAAGTAGCCTCTTCAAGTGCTCAAGTGGTGTGTTACAAATCACAATGGATGAGAGGGAACGGAGCGACACATGGGCAACACTTTCCTCCCCATTCGCCTCAAATCCTGAACTGGGCTCCAAATCATTGATGAAGCGTGACCCTCGCGTGGCTGCGTCTTATCTGAGTGGGGGGGAGAGGGTTGTAGTCAAAGCTGGTGTCGATGCTAGCATAACAACGCCCCACTCGAGTGAGATACTGACACGTTTGTTGGGCACCAAAGTCCGACTCCGAACCTAATAAGCTAAAGATCAAACCGAGCCGCGACATCGATATCCGGGTGTAATGCCGAAAAGGACACGCAGTGGGAGGCTTAAGGCAATCCCGATTGCGATTTTTCGAGAGAAGGTGCATAGGAACGCTAGTGGGAAAGGAGAGATTCCGGCAAATCGTAATTCGCGCTCTGCTGCTCATTGGAATTTGGAGGTCGCTGGACCGCGTCTGTTGGACCTTCGCGATACACGATGTCATCCATGGGTTCGGTCGTCTACGTGGATCAAGGATTTCTTGGTACGCTTCTGTTACGAAGACAAGAAAAAAGCAAAACGGCTTGCCCAATGTCCGTCTTTGTTCTGGTTCGGAAGGGTGGGAGGATCAGGACAACCGGGCCCTGATCTCGCACACGAAGCCAGAAAACTGCAGATTGGTATTCCAACGAGTTTATCTCTTTGCTCATCCAATACTTATGTCCAACTTTTCGATGATAAAAAAGTAACCAGTCTTGGTCGATAAGCTGTAAACCGTAACCAGAACCTCAGAGTAGGTCCAGCTGCCCGAATCATCGCCCATCTACTTTTTTCCCCTCAAGGAGGCTGACAGTACTGAAACTCCTTCAGAAAGCTTCGCAAGATCTTCATTCTTCAAGTATTCTAGATTATCCAAATACACATTGTTGGATAACTGTTTATATGAACCGTGGTATTTGAGATCACTTCTGAATTACGCGAAATCCCTCACATCATTCGATCCTTTTTCAGTCCTTATAAATGACCACAGACACGGAGACCCCAATGGGGGCAAGAAGGCGGCATATTCCACAACCGGACACCTTCGACGAAGAGAATTCACCGACTCATTGCCGCCCACAAGATGACCTTCTCTTAATAGAGCCTGCAGATAGGGCGCAAGACAGCGCATCCAACACGACTTCCATGACAGCTTATCTGGATCAGGTGTGCCAGAAGAGCAAAGAGGAGGAGAAAACATCCGTCACTCACCACCCCAGCCCTGAGGCTTTGGGAAGGAAGGATCCTAATAGCTCGGACCCCTTTGACGAGACCGCCGTGGTGCCGGACGCTGAAGAGGAAGATGAGGACCCAGAGATGCCGACAGTGACTGTCAGATCCTGCACGGTTGGCCTGATGATGTCCATCTTTGGCGCGGCTGTCTCGCAGGTGAAGTGCCCACAAACTCTTGGGTGACTCGGCGCAAAGCGTTGATTCCTCTTGCTCATTGATGAAATGACTTTGCCCGGCGTAGATCTTCATGTATAAGCCGGTCCATCTGAGCCCGCATCCCTTGTTTATTCAGGTAACTGAGCTCCATCCGACACTCAGGAAAACATTCGTCGTTCAATGCTGATCGGGATCCTTTGTCCTCCAGTTGGCTTGCTTGATTCTCGGGAGAGCATTCGCCAAGATCCCCGGGCCACCTTGGTGGAACCCATGTCCCTTGACGGTGGTAAGCCACCTATTTTTGTAAAATAGAAATTCCGGCTTGATCAATTTATATCCATGGCTGATTTCTTGATCTCCTATCTGATCTGCAGAAGGAGACTGCCTTTGCAGCCATCATGGCGACTGCTGGCGCGGCTGGTACACCTAGTGTAGAGGCAAGTCTTCACATCCCTTCGGTCACATTGCCATTGTCAGAGCTTGTACTCACTCCGATTTCCTTGACAGATGGTGGCCACTCAGGATCTGTTTTTCGACCGAAAAATGCATCCGATGATCGTCATCATGACTCTTCTCAGCAGTCAACTAATCGGCTACGGATGGGCTGGGTACACAAATGTTTCTTTTTTTTCGTGCCAAGGACCTCCTCCGTTTGCTCCACTGATTTGTTGTCTAATTCTTGCTTTTGTAACAGGTTGCTACGCCCATTCTTGATTTATCCAGCCAAGACAATCTTCCCGTAAGTCGAACTAAGTAACAGCAGCCAATATAAGAGAACAAGTCAAATATTCAACACGTTTATATATATATATATATATTTTTTCATTTTTGTAGGAGTGTATTACCATCCGTAGCGCTCTTCAAATCCTTGAGTCAATACACCCCCGACGTAGAGCACCAGGTGAAAACGTTCAAGAAGACGTTTTTCGGGACCAGTTTGTGTGCGCCAAGAGTGCTTGATAGACCCCTGTTGCATACTCACAAAAAGCATATTGTTGAATCGATTTCTTCTCCGATCGACCCTCTCCTCAGACGAGATTATTCCGATGTATATTGCGCCGGCGCTCCAAGCGATCAGTCCTTGGTGCTTAACACTACCCCAAGTGCCTGCCATCACCAACATCTTTGGCGGTTCGATGGTCGCTGAAGGAATGGGACTCTTTGCTTTCTCCGCAGATTGGATGCTCATCGGTAAGTTTCTCTTTTATTTTTTGAAAAAATAAAAAAAAGAATCGATCCGGATACATACTTGGATTGAGCTCACAGTCAAATCTGGTGCATAAAAGGCTCCCATGGACCTTTGTTCGTGCCATTGATGTCACAGGTACGCCACCCCTCTTTTCGGACCCACTCATTCAAACACTAAAAGAAGTGATTAGGACACCATTAACATTGGGTTCTTTCACACCAGGTCACCGATTGGGTTTCGGTCTCGTTTGCGATTTTTTTGATGGGAGCGGCATACAGATTCAACTGGTTTGGTCAGTCCCCGCATTTCTCAAGTTCTGCCGATCTGTTGCCCCAGCATGACCAGCGGGATTGATGATCGACTGAGTTTTTTCCGCTTTCACGAAAACACACACAACAGGCGGCCCCCCGCTCCCGTTCATCTCCTACGACATCCTAGACTCCCACGGGAAGCGCTACAACATGAGCCTGGCCATGAACAAGGATGGCACTGAAAACATCAAGGGCGTCGAGACGCTCGGACTGCCCTACTATGCCGTCACCTACATCGTCGGCAAGACCGGCGTCTCTCTCGCCGTCACCTCGGCTATCACAAGCGCACTCCTCTGGAACTGGGAGGAGACTAAGGCTGCTTTCAGGAAAACCGATGATCCTGCTACTGAGGATCCTCACCGCACAATCACTAAGAAATACGCCCAGTTCCCGGAATGGTAGGTCATCGATATCCCCTCTTCGATACACTCTTTCTTATTATTTGTTTTTGTCCTCAGGGGTTTTTGTCTTCTCGCGGTACTGTTTATGGGCCTGGCCTTCTTGTGCTCTTTCCTCGGAAAATCCGGGCTATCGCCAATTGCGCTTCTAACGGCATTCTGCATATCTGCTGTCCTAAGGTAAGATCAATTCTCTTTCTCTGCGTGTTTTCTTTGTTTTTCTGATGAATATTTCTGACAAGACAAATCACTTGGGATTGCTCTCAGTTTGGCTGCCGGATTCTTTTATGCAACGTCGGGGATTGGATTGGGTTGTCATGGTAAGCTGGCCAAACCGCTTGAATTTACTCTATGTAGATGAGCTGGACAATCTGACGAGCGGGTTATCCTTCCATAGCCGTTGTTCAGATGCTTGGGTAAGCATCACACCCTCCACTCCACTATCAATCATCGGAAAACCTTTGTTGATCTTTTTGGAATAAACAGGGGCCTGATGTTTCCAGGGAATGCGATTGCAAACATGTGGTTCACCTTGTAAGCACCATCAGCCGAACCTCAATCTAGAGCTTGCAGTGGCACTGAATTTTTGGATTCATAGGTTCGGAAGTACAAGCGTTGGACAGTCTGTGTTTATGCTTCGCGATCTGAAGCTGGGCCAATACATGCATCTATCCTCAGTGAGTGCACCGCATACCTGATAAATTTCGAGACGAACCGATCCTAACCCATGAGTGTGGATGGCCGCATAGTTATCGGTAGTTTGTTCGCAACTGACGGGGACGTAAGTGTCTCTCACTTCAGCCATATCTGAGATGAACTTGCGGCTGACTTCGATTCAGCGGCTTCTAATATCAGATTGGTCGGCGGATTCACCCACTATTTCCTGATGATAGCTATTCTCCGCTCTCAACGAGACGTGCTGCTACTGCCAAACGGAAACGGAGTATTTACCGTAAGTGCACTGACTTGGAGCATCAGCAAAGGGGATAGATTCGAGCTGATCGTCGGCTCTTTTCAATCTTGTTTTAGGGGATGTCTTTGAGCACATACGCCGCTGAATCTACGACGTTCGTCATCCCCAACTCTCTCGTTTCCTGAAGCTCACTTACCTCCATCTTCATGTCCAACAGATGGGGAATCTTCAGCAGAAGGCTGTACCTGTCCGGACAAAGATATGTGAGTCTTTGCGCTCAGTAAACACAAGATAGCGACCACAGAAACCCCGGGATAGCGCGTCATGAATCCCGTTCCAGAACAGTGAAACCTGAACACATTCTCCGCTTCTACAGGCAGTGATCCCGTATTCATTGATTGTTGGATTCTTCCTGCCGATCCCGTTCTTCTTGCTTCACCGCTGGAAACCGGGCTTTGGATTCAACAAGGTCAACATCTCGTTGTTCTGCTCGAGTCTCTTCGGAGCCATTGGCGGTCCGTCCCTCAGCCATTCCCTCCTTCCTTCTCTTCCCCCTGGGCACCTCCGCTCATGACATCTTTCTGAATATGTAGGCGTCACTTCTGCAAGAACTGTCGCCACCATGATCACGATTTACACCCAGTACTATATCCGGAAGTACCGTTTCCAATGGTCAGCTTCGTCTGTCCTTGGAGATGTGCCATGGACTTATATAACTAACTCACTTTGCTTTTCTTATTCAGGTACCAGAAGTACAAGTTTGTAGTAACCTCTCACTCCGTTTCTTATTGCTTCTGAAAACCGATGATTAATCCAATGAACTCTTTTACCAAAAAAACAAAAAACAAAAAAAGTTACATTCTTAGTGCAGCGGTAAGAAAATCTGACTCTTCTCCAGATTTGATAGAGGCTGACCAAAAAAATCGGAATGGCAATGATGGAAACTTAACACAGCTTGACGGCGGCACCCAATTTATGATGTTCATACTGACGCTCACTCTGCAGGGGGGCGCAGGCTTCAAAGTGACCATGCCCACGTCAGTCCGCCCGCTCATTCTTACACACCTTCTTCGTTCCAAGCAGCTTGATAATTATGTTTGTTTGTACTGTCCGCTCTTCCGCTTTGTCCAGGTATTTCCTCAACCCCAAAGGCACGCGTGATTACTGCTATCTACCTTCGGCAGAGCAGAACCACTGAAAAAAACCCCGAAAAAAATCATCCATACATTGCATCGTCGTTACATATTCGCACATCGATTGACACCATTCTTCTCATCTTTCTCCACGTTCTTTGCTTGTCTTATCTTCTCTATCTCCCACTGACCCATTGTATCACGCCTAATCACCACCCTGTAACAGTCTGTAACCTGATCCGATAGATTTCCATCCCAATATTTAGATCTCCAGCAACAGCGCTTTCTTGCATGTAGTCCATACCCGATTTCTCGCAGTGTTTATATGTACACATGTCCAATTCTGTCGATTCTTCCATTTTTGATGTTCTGCAAACGCAATACAAGGACAAAGCCTGTCTCAAAGGCTACTAGACCAAAGTCATGCCGAGCCTGCAATCTGTCCCGCCCGACTGATTGCTCATGGCCAGGGACCCGGTAGGATAGATCTCTTCCCCTCCTGGCCTATCTGCTCGTGACTCCCGCTGACACACACGTGTTAGTGTTACGGGGAAGCACGCGTTAAAGATCGGTGAGCCCCGGTCCATATCTCCACAGGAAACAGTCCAACAGGTACATAGCTGCCCGTCAACAGAGGCAAGATGTCTGTAGCTGGAGATCATAGATACATATTATTATAAGCATCAGGTATTGGTCGAGCCGGGGATCGGCTACATTAATAAGTTGAAGTCCGTCAACGGCTTACACCTATGTATATATCGGCTGTGTCTTTACCCTCAGAGTCACAGACAGAACACCCAGGCAAAAATTCGGGCGTCATTGCAAGCAATGGAATCCATGATGTGTGTGTGTGTGCGGTGTGCAACCCCGAACCATTGATCAGCCATTAAGTACATCCACAACCCCATCAAGAAGAACCTGATCTTGGGGTGTGCGACGGCCCTCAATCTCACGGAAGCGGAGAGAGAGAGAGAGACCGATCACTGTTCATCGGCCATCCCTCCATCTTTCACACTTGTTTTTTTTGGCGGCTCCCGGGAGCTCATTCGATCAGTTCGATCCCCTCCTCGCCTTTTGTTTCGTTTGAATGATGATGGGTTTGATGACAAAGAGGCATCTATTGTAACGATTAAGGTCACAGCAGCCCCAGACAAGCAAAATAGGAGTGATCCAACAGCACACGCAAACGGATCAAGCTGACTAGTTTCTTCTTTAAATCAAGATAAGTTGGAATTTTGATTACGGGAAATTTGTTGTTTAAGGATAAAACAAAGATTTCGCCATGAGGAAAGAAACCCTCGAGGCGAGTACAACTCTTTAAATATTTTCAGCTAGCTACAACTGTATTACGCTATTCACTTATTTTGTTATCACTGCCTTCTTACATATTGATAAAAATCTTTTTTCTTTTTAAGTAGTTATTTTCTTGATTACTTTCTTGAAAATCTTTTTTCTTAGTACTATTTTAAAGTGTCGAACCATTTTTCTTCTTATCAGAGTACCAATCTTTGAAATTTCTTCTCCTTCGTCATTAAATCTTCTTTCTAACTGAATTCATCTTCATAATAATTTTTTTTGTTTTGCTGTGTCTCGTGCCTGCTCGTTACAAATATGCCCTGCCTATTATAACCCTTTTTCTTTGATTTGTATAATGCTACTAAGTTGTTCCTAAAAGTATCCAAGTAACTATGCAAAAAACTTGGAATATCTCTGTCAGCTACCCAAGTGTCCTCTCCCGGAGTAGAGTTGCGCCAGCAAAGCAAATAGTCAAACTTACCCTTACTTACCTGCCTAGCGTCGAGAATCATCGCTAATTTGGACCAGTTCACAATTCTACCTTCCTTATAATATTGTTCCCTAATGCCCTGAACCGTCCCGCGACCCTGAATTTCCCTAGGATTGTTGTATCTTACTACCAAAGAAACATTGAAAACTGGATGAATTTTTGGGTAATCCCTAGCAATATCTAATCTTACCGTGTTCTTTCCTACCATTTCAATGACCCTGAACGGACCTAGAAACCTGTAATCTAACTTTGAATTTAGCCTCCTAGTCGAAATAAACTTACGTAATAGAAGAACCTGATCTCCTTCTTCATAATGTGAGGCCTCTCTTCTTCTTAGATCATAATACCAAGCCTGGCGTTGTTGAGCCTGGGTTAGGCATTCGACTGCCCTTTCCTGAATGAATTGCAGGTCTTCTGCAAATTCGTCTGCCGGCTTGATACCTGAACTGTCTGTTAGTACGCTGAACTTAGGATGGAATCCGTAAGAAAAGAAAAAAGGGGAAACTCCCAGAGACGCTGAATCTGAATTGTTGATCGCAAATTCAGCCAAGTCCAAAATCTTATCCCAGTTATCCTGATAAAAAGAACAGAAATGACGGAGATAATCTTCTAAAACTTGATTCATTCGTTCGGTTTGTCCATCCGTCTGTGGGTGGTAAGCGCTAGAATACCCACTTTTGATTTGCAAAGAATTCATTAAACTGTCCCAGAATTTACTTACGAAAATTGATCCCCTATCGGAGATAATCTTCTGGGGTAGTCCATGAAGCTTCACTATATTCGTTTGGAATAAATTCGCGACCTGGGCTGCTGAATAAGTCTCTTTACAAGGAACAAAGTGAGTCATCTTACTCAACAAGTCGATCACCACCATAATTGAGTCGAATCCACCAGAATCCGGTAGCTTGACAATGAAATCGATCCCAACCTTACTCCAAGGCTTTTCCGGTATCGCCAAAGAATTTAGCTGTCCCTCAGGTCTTTGGTGCCTAGCCTTAACTCTTTGACATGAATCACAGGACTTAACAAATTTTATTACGTCCTTACGTACCCCCGGCCAGGAAAAAGTCCTGGTTAATAGAGCCAGCGTCCGCGCAATTCCTGGGTGACCCGCTGAGGGAGTATCATGAGATAGCTGAATAATTCTAGTCCTCATTGATGTTGGAACGTAAATTCGATCTTGATGCCAATACATGTCCTGGAATAATTGTAAATCTTCCTTCTCCTCGTCGCTTAGATTAGAATAAGCTCGCCTTAAATAACTTATTAGCTCATCTGTTGGCTTTTGAAAAAACAAGTCATGCTTAGCTGTTCCTTTTTCAGCTTCGAGGGGGACCAAATCGTTAACAACCTTAGATACTAAGCGCTTTGCAATGGTTTCTGTTGGCGAGCTTCTTAGTTGTCCCAGAGTGTAATCAGGGCGCCTGCTCGGTCCGTCAGCTGGATTCTTCTTTCCCGAAATGTGATGAATCTCAAAATTAAACTCGTCTAGAAAAGCGGCCCATCTAGCCTGCTTGGGGGAGAGTTGTTTAGCCGAACGGAAATATCGTAGATTGGAATGATCAGAAAAAACTTTAACTGGTTTATCAGTGCCCATCAACCAGGTGCGCCATTCTTCAAACGCCGTTACAACCGCCAGTAGTTCCAAATCAAAGATAGGCCACCCACGCTCTCAATCTGTCAGCTTTCTAGAGTAAAAGCTTACCGGATGAAGCTTCCCAGTTGTTCCTGGTTGACTCAAAACCGCCGCAATAGCATACCCCGAGCTGTCTACATGAACTATTCTGGGGAGCTTGAAATCAAAATGTCTGAGGAGCGGAGCTTTCGAAAAACACGACTTCAAAGCAGAAAATGAAATTCTCGGATGTTTCTCACCAAGGTTCTGAACCGTGCAAGCGCCATTTCTGGTTAAATCCGTAAGAGGAGCCGTTAAATCTGAGAACTTCGGAATAAACCTACGATAAAAATTTGTAAATCCTAAAAATCGCTGGAGTTCCTTAAGAGTCGTTGGATAAGGCCAATCTAGGATAGTAGAAAGCTTCTTCGGGTCCATCTGAATTCCTTCACGAGAAATGTTAAACCCTAAAAACTTAACTTCTGTCTTAAAAAATTGACACTTAGCCAAAGATGCTTTTAAAGAATATTCATCTAACTTTTTCAGCACCTTCTTAAGATCTTCGACATGTTGTTCTCGTGTCTTAGAATAAATAAGGATATCGTCAATATAAACAAAACAGCATACATCTAAATACTCACGAAGAACATGCTGGATGAAGCGTTGAAAAGTGGCCGGCGCATTTGCCAATCCAAAAGGCATGACCAGGTATTCAAACAGGCCCCACGGAGTCCGAAAGGCAGTCTTCCATTCATGGCCGGGTTCGATTCTAAGCAAATTGAAGGCTGATTTAAGGTCTATTTTAGAGAGAAATCTACAACCTGCTAAATTATTCAGAAGTCTTGAAACCAAAGGAAGGGGATAAGAATCCCGAATCGTCATTGCATTTAACAATCGATAATCTATACAAGGCCTGTCAGCCTTGCCAGAAACTTTAACAAAAAAAATTGGAGCCCCTGCAGGCGAAGATGACTCCCTGATAAAACCTTTCTTTAAATTATCGTCAACATATTCCTTTAACTGCTTATTTTCTTTTTCAC